GGCCTGAAGACTCAACTCAAAAGGGTTCAAGTATCATATGGTATATACTTAGACCCCAAAATGCCCTAGAAGCATATACCATAATGATACTTGGACCCTTTGGGCAAGCTCAACCTCAAAGCGTAAAGCCCGAAAGCTTCCTCTGGTGGCAGGTTCGGCTCGGCGTCGGTGCGAAAGTGAGGGACTTGACAGAGTACGTCACGCGGGATCCAGACATCAAGGTGCCGCTGCCAGGGTTTAGGCTTAAGGTTCCATGAAGGTTTCGGGTTTAGAGTTTAGAGGGTGGTTCGGGTGTTTAGAATGGAGGTTTCCGGGCGCTATAAGCTGTTCAGTTGTCTTGAGAGCGGCATGGCGCAGAAACTCATTGCAGGCCTTTGCTACCGCAGGAGTGACGGTGCTTGATTTCAAAAACCATCCATGTGAAGTGGGAGTCACATTGTTTACCAGTAAAACATATACCGTCAGCTTCGAGCATCAGACAATAGAATCTACCACACCCTGAACTTCGTGCACGTGCAGGTGAGCGTCAACAAAGCCGGTGACCTTATGGTTGTCCACGGCCCAAACAAGGACGACTCGCAGCGTCGGATGTTTCAGTTTCGGAGTCGGTCACACCTGGATGGGGTTCAGTACGAGGCATGATCAAGAGCAGCATATAAGATGAACGCTGCCGTGCTTAAGATGGTTCCAGCTGACACTCTGTGTAGGTTTTCTGCTTCAGACCCAGCAACATATAATGTATGTGTACACACACACACATATATGAGAACAGAATGTAGAAGAGCGTTCAGCAAATTTTCGGAAGAGCTAACCGTTACTGGAGAGGACACGTTCCGACCGGTAAACTGATAGGGCCCGACCGAAACTGTCCTCTACTAATACGAAACCGATAGGGGACCTCCTGGCTACTAGGAGGTCTTTTGACCCGGATTATCGCGTGCTCCACCTCCTGGAGCAGCGCCACTCATGCCTCTTAGTTTTGCCCAGACACACATGCATGCGTGCATGTGTTTACAGGCGCATGCACGCATGCATGCATGCATGCATACATACATACATACATACGAACAGACAACATGCACACGCCGCAGGACGAACGACATTTTCGACACAGGGAATATCTTCCAGAAATTTACCCACCAGTCAACCTACTTACCTGCCTATCTGCATACATACAAGTTCAGACAGATAGTTTCATTGATTGGATGGTTGGCTGGATGGATGGATGCACGGATGGATGCGTAAATAAGCATACGCCGGTAGATAGACAGTTGTGCACAACTGTGTGAAAGTAAGCATATATCTGTATACATGTAATACATATACATATATATATATATATACATATACACACGGTTATTAACCTATGGCAAAAACACTTACATGTTTACATGCTTATTCGTACATATATGTACATACACATATGCATGTATTCGTTCGTTTATGCGTACTTATGTAAACATACGTGCATGTGTACAGGCACATGCATGTCATCACTGTGTTTACTTGAACTTGCAGCTATACCTGTATCCATGTTCTACCCCTCTGATTTTCGATGTAAAATCAAGCTGTCTATCTGTGTGTCTATTTCTATCTATCCATGTGTCATCTGTCCGACCCTTTATTCCTCTGTCTGTCTAGATTTGCTTACAAACAGACAAAACGTGAATGCAAACAGACAAAACGTGAATGCACGACAGCCACAAGAGTTCTCCTCGTCTTAGTAGTTTGACGGACCAACAGCAGCGATAGCAGTACCACTAGTGGTGAGCATCATGGAGTGCTTGCCAGATAGACGGATCTCAGACGCGCGCAAAGGCACATCGGTTTAACCCAAGATCCGAAAGGCCTGAAAAAAGGACCCACATCCCGGGGCTTTGGGGTTCATGGTGTGGGGTTTAGGGCCTACACATGGCACATTGCCGAAAGTGGACCAGGAGCGGGTGGGAACTTTGGCATTTCGACTCTACAAGAAGATGACACCGATACTGATGCCTTATACGGGCAAAGGCGCGCGGAAGTCACACAATCCCTCAGCCAAGTTCTTTGATGCTTCTATATCCAGAGGGTTTTGTCATGCTGCCTGGCAGAAGATGTCCCAGGGTTCACCGTTTGCTGTGTTGGGTTTGGGGACCACTAGTGCTCCTGAAAAAGTTCAGAATACCAGCATCTCCCCCAACTACAAGCTGGTGGAATCTAAAGCCATGTCTGAATAGGAACCCCGAAGGTTCCGAACATTGTACGGCCCAGTATGGCGTTAAGTTTCCCGGTGTTAGTCTTTGCTGTTCTTGATGTTGAGCTCAGCGCACTGTTGCAGGTGCCCACTTCGCCTTCCATTCGGTGAAGAGAAAGCCGATGCGCAAGAAGTAGTGTTAACATCGCGCATGTCTCACTGTCCGGCGAGTGGAAGGCAAGCATTTCTTGAAGCTTATCATCTTGATGACCCCTTCGTGATGATGTCGATGATCAAGAGCAGTAGCAGTAGCTGAGTAGCACAGTAGCAGCAACACAGTAGCAGTAGCACAGTAGCAGTAGCAGGCAGTAGCGGTAGCAGTAGCAGTAGCAGTAACGCAGCAGTAGCAGGAACAGCGGCAGGAGCAGTGGCAATGTAGTAGCAGTAGCAGTAGCAGCAGCAGCAGCAGCAGCAGTGGCAGTAGCAGTAGCAGTCGCAGTCGCAGTCGCAGTAGCAGTAGCAGTAGCAGTAGCAGTAGCAGTAGCAGCAGCAGAATGGCAGTATAGAACAGTATAGCAGTAGCAGTATAGCAGTAGCTGTAGCCGTAGCAGCAGTAGCAGCGGCATAGCAGTAGCAGTAGCAGTAGCAGCAGTAGTAGTAGTAGTAGTAGTAGTAGTAGCAGCAGCAGCAGTAGTAGTAGCAGTAGAGTAGTAGTCGTCGTAGTAGTAGTCGTAGCAGTAGTAGTAGCAGTGATAGTAGTGGTTGTAGTGGTATAGTAGTAGTAGTAGTAGTAGTAGTAGTAGTAGTAGTAGTAGTAGTAGTAGTAGTAGCAGTCGTCGTAGTAGTAGTAGCAGCATAGCAGTGGTGATGGCCTGATAGCCATCGTCGAAGCAGTAGCAGTAGTTATGTTTTGCTTTTGTTGCTGCCGTCCTGGTAGTTGCTGTGGTTGATGTGTTTGGCGATGCTGGTGCTGGTGCCGTAGCGGTGGGATGCGCACTCCGTGAAGTTGTCGCCTTTCGGGCTCTGGATCATCCACTTGCTTCCCGAAGTTCATAGCTGCTATAGCTTAGAAGGGGCCCCACCCTGTAATAGTGGTATAATAGGAATATACTAGGGGGCAGCTTCTAAGCTATAGCTTTTTTCGGCTCTTGCTCGTCCTGGCAATGCAGCAGAAAAGTTGTTCGGTCGTTCCAGTAGGCTGGGCTTTTGTGAAAGTGGAACGCCGGGCTCGGCATTTTCATTCAGATCTCCATGGCTGTTTCGTAGAGAAAGCTATGTCGTACACCCGAACGGATGTTTGACTGAATTTCATCGGCCTTTTTGACCCGAAGCTATCAACACGTAAACTTGCAATAATTGGGTTTGTCGTTCTAGACATTCCGACTTCTGCAATGAGTGCGATTGTGGAGGACGACCATGCCATGCTTCACAATGCTTTCCTTTGTAAGTCGTTGGCTGTATGCTGGACTGAGATGAAGACTAGGAGCAACCACTCATGTAAAGTTGATTTCAATCCCCCTGTCTGCTTGTCAGGCTGAGATACCATCAGCACACATGCCCTTTTCAGCACTGACCTCACAGAGTTGGCTACAAAAGAAGGACACCAGCAACTGTCGTCCGAAGTCGGAACCTCTGGATCTCAAAGCCCTACGTGAGCAACGCTGTTCTGCAAGACAACCAGTCCTGCCACCGACAAAATCAGTTTGTATGCTCCAGAGAAGCTTGCGTACTCATGCGCCCTCCTGCAAGTAAGATTATACTCCAATTGCAAGTCAGAATTCTCGAAGCGTGTAGATCCTGCAGAACAGGAACGCTGACCGCAATAGAAACGCGGCATACACAGTTCAAGGAAACATCGTTGTCAGACACCCTAAACCCTAAACCCCTAAACCCCCAAACCCTAAACCCCTAAAACCCTAAACCCCTAAACCCCCAAACCCTAAACCCCTAAAACCCTAAACCCTGAACCCCTAAAACCCCTAAGCCCGCTTCGGAGATCTGAGGCTTTTGTGCCTTTTATCCGCAAAGTCTCAACGGCCAAGGGTGTGACGATCTTCCTCCAACTATTCAGCACCTAGCGATGCAAGTCCTAGGCAAAAACGTCTGAAAAACACGGAGCAATGCAGCATAGCTTCTGATGACCAGTGGAGGGCTTCAACTTACTGGCTTCGGAGAACTTCTAGATAGATAAACTCCTCAAGTCCTAAACCCTCAACCCTCAACCCGAGCGATGCAGCCGATTTGGCTTGCAGTCGTGCTTGACGCCTCCGAGTCTGCCTCCACTTCCGTTTTCATGTATAACTGCTACTGTAAAACTTCCTGCACTTTCCTGCATAGCTGCTTGGCATGACTAGGATACCTTAAGTTACAACTTGTACACCATTTACGTGTCCAGGTAGGCTGGGCTTTAGGTGGCGGAGTTTCCCCGTTCAAGATGTCAGCGATCACGACATACCCCGGTATTCTGGGGCTCGAAGCTCACTTGCTGCACGACCTGAAACCCGAATATTGCAGGGAATATTGTAGTATAATACATAATTATACACAAATGAATAAGTGCATATACAGTTATATGTAGCATAGCAGTTTATAATAAGCAATAGCCCTACCCCTCCTACCTGTGCGAATCGTTCTTCCCAGAGCATCAGATCAGGCCAACCCCCTTGCAGCAGATTACTAATTATGATGCCATTGGTATGTGTACTATGTTACTGTTCGGAGTATCATGATAGTTCAGCAGATGTAGAAAGACTACGGAAGCAAGGATGCTTGAACCCCATGCTTTAGAGTCTAATGACCCGGGCGGCTGATTCTGCTCGGTGGGATCATGGTTCGGCTTGCCGCCAGGCCTGTGGGGCTTTAGTGCTTTGTGTGTCGGCCGGAAACCAGAAGCCACCAAACCCTGAACCGGGGCAGCTGATTTTGGGAGTTGAGACCGTGGTCGCACCTCGCATGTAAGTGCAGGCATTCACACACATGTACAAACCAGTATGTCCGGGCTCAGCTTGAGGGAAAGTGAGACAGGCTGACACACCAGTTACTAATATAGATATAGACTGTGTCTTTTTGCTTGCCCCCATCACTCGCCATGTATGCATTTTGCATTAATGTAGATACATGCCAGGATGAAGTGTTCGAGGCAGCTTTCAAAGGAAGAGCATTCGGACTCTCTTCCTTGTATACTTGAGAAAAGCCGAGTCGACAAATGCAGACTAAAGCTCTGCTTACGTGGAAGTGTGTGATTTAGTCGTGAGACGCGAGCCTCTTCAATTTGGGTGTGTTCGGAAACACCACAAAAGACTGACGTAAGCAGCTTTTCGTCATGCCTCGCGGGAGCGGTTCGTCAGGTGTGTGCGCCACCTCATCTTCGCTGATGCGAAGGAGATAAGGCGGCCTGAATTACAAAACACGGTGAGTTTCCGTTCATTCCTGGGGCAGGAGATGTTTGACCTCGCTTCGGCTGGGATGCCCTTGCGGTCTTGGTCAGGTTCACAAGCGAAAAGCTGAGAATTGATCTTTGACTTTTTGTTCATCTTGTAAGCCCTGAAATTAGAGGCAGAGAGCCTCCTATCCTGTATCCTGTGGTTTTGTACCTGGGAGATTTCATGTACCCTCGTGACTCTGCAACCTGTCTCCATGGCTGGCTTTCGCAACTCTCATTGTGTGACCTCTCAAAGCAGATTCAAGCTGTCAGGTGTCCGGGAAAGCTCAATGCCGTAATTGGTAGCACTACATTGGAGACTACTCCTCACCACTTCGAAAGCGACGGCCAGTATTCCTTCCTGCTTCCCAGCAGCAACCACTACTTCGCGTATTACTGTGCTGATGTTGTCGCCAGTGTTGAAAGTATCACCGTGCGGACCCCTGAATCCCAGTCTAGAAACTTTTATAACTACCGTGTTCCTCAGAGTTCCTTAATATGATTACAGCGAAATATGCACCGAAGCGCTATCCCGATAATACGAAGTCCCTTACGCGCGACTGTTGAATCCTACAGAAGCTGCATGTAGTCTCCATTGTAGTTCCTTTTAGGGGTAGCTTATAGGATCCTACACATAAAGTTGGTTAAATTCAACCAACAAAAGGAACTACAATGGAGATTATAGCTTGGGTACGGCCCCCACTCTTTAATAGCTGAGTAATATTCATAATATAGATATATTAGGACCTTAATCGTAGCCCTATTATAGACTCTTACTGTAAGGGGGCAGTACCTAAACTATAGCTAGGTTCCAGCAGAGCAGGCGACGGCTCGTTCCTCGCTCTCTGGCGTGGCGCCCGAGTCCATGGGCAGAGGCACACGGGGTGCAGGGCTCCAGGTTTAGAATGCATATATATATATATATATATATATAGCTAATATATATAGCTATTATGATCATATAGTCGGGTCCAAGGTTTAGTTTGGGGGCTGTTGGTGAGGATTGGAGTGTAAGTTATCAGGGCTCGGGTGGACATGGGCGGATTCGTTTTATTTTGTTGTTTTTGTTTTTTGGGTTGCGCGGTCCCTGAACGAGAAACACACCAACGGTTTAACCAGGACGAAGGATCGAAAACAGACGAATTCAGAGACACTCGCAGATCGTAGTCATGGCGACAATTCACCGTTTCACTAGGCACGGCGGGAGCAGCCCAAGTAATTTCGGTGATGCTCAACGAGCGTCCGAGGAACACGGAGCGCAGAAGTTCCCAAGCATTTTGGGACTTTCAGCCCCACCACTGACTAATTATAATATAATATAATATAATCTATTATATTATAATATAATATAATACAATACAATATAATATAATAGAATAGAATATAATATAATATAATATAATAGTGATGTGGACTCCTAGTATAATATAATATAATATAATATAATATGATATAATATAATATAATATAATATAGTATAATATATATAATATAATAGTGATGTGGACTCCTAGTGGCATTGGCAGACTTACTGGTTCTGACAGAAGGCTGTGTTCGAATAGTTTGCAAGAATACAATCCGCCGAACTGCGGGAGCAGAAATAGTCGACGGCGGATACCCTGGCACTGTGAATGCTAGAGATGCCATGAACGCTGCTATCAATCAGTTCGGCCAGTCGTATAGAACCACAACCAAACTGACAGTCACAATGAGAAGCGCACCGGATGATAAAACACAATGGCTTAAAGGCACGTGGGATTGCAGATAGGTGGCGACCTCAGCGAGTGCTTCAGCTATAGATGCAGCCCTACCGAGCTTTACACCATGATGCTGCTGACACAATTCCATGGCAAATGAGGCCTCATTTTTCACAAAACTTGCAACTGCACAAAGCAATATCACCGGCAACAGCATTGACTGCAGTGGGACTACAATGACTAGTCACAACAGCAGCAACGAGACAACCAGCACCCGAACTACAGCCATCACCGCTGCAACTGGCATATTTCCAACACCACCACCCGCACCACCACCCGCACCACCACCACCACCACCACCACCACCACCACCACCACCACCACTACCACCACCACCACCAAGCCACAGAACCATTTCCGCAACCGTGGAAGTCAACTTCCTGTTGCATGAACACTATGCATGCTATCGGTACCATCATCGACATCTTCATCACCCGGTTCGGGTTCATCATGATCACAACTATTGGCGCAGTCCTCGTCGCCGTGAGTCGTTGCATGATCTTCGTCGCTGCACTGAAAGTTTGCATCCCCATCATCATCACCACCACCATCACCATCATCATCATCATCATCATCCTCATCCTCATGGTCATCGTCATCGTCATCTTGATCATCGTTATGGGTCATGGCAAGCAGACGAGGACGCAGCAAACGCTAGGACAAATGCCACGTGACACGTTAAAGCTGACTGATGACCATGAAGAGAAGATGCGCCGACAATCAGACTTGCAACGGTTGCGAAAGTCACGACCCGAGGATAAAGTGCCAAGATGCGACTGTGCCATTTGTCCGCTTCTTTGAGGCGGGTCTGGATCTAGAGTTTAGGGGGTTTAGGGTCAAGGGTCTAGGATTCAGGGTTTCGGTGGTTTTGAGATCGCCCTGTAGGTCTCAGTTTTCAGAAGTTGAAGCCAAATCCTTGCACTTTACAGCCCTGCAGAGGTGTGTCCTCAAGTTTCGAATGCATTCATGTACATACGGGGATTCCAAAGCCTTTCGGTGTTTGCAGGTGTCGATTCAGGGTACTGCGGCTTTGGAAGACAGTCGTGCACGAGCATGTTGCCATGTCACAGACGTGCTTCCTCTGAAGTTTCGAAAGATTCGAGGCATGTTGCAATGACCCTGGGCCACGAACCCCCCCCCCCCCCCCGACAGGGTGGTTTGCTTGGAGTTCGCCATTTGTTTTACGGTTCTTGACGCCTCCTGTACGATCACGCGCACCCCAACACTCTGCCCTATTCCTCTCGACTTAAACCTCCTGCTTCAAGTCCCAACCCGATCCTCAGCATTAGTCTTCGGCATTGTAGTTCCTCTTTTTGGTTTAACCAGTTGTAATACGTAGGATCCTATCTGCTAACCCCCCCAAAAAGGGATTACAAACACCCTAACCCTAAACCTCTCTTACCTCTTATATCTTCAACCCCAAACCCTAAACCTCTCTTACCGCTTATAATTTAAACCCTAAACCCTAAACCTCTCTTACCTCTCATAATTCAAGCCCTAATGACCATATTCAGAGAGGCTCCCACGATGAGTGCTGACCAAGTAGTCAGCACGCTGAAGGAGCTCGTTCAGGAGAGCCCAGAGTTTCTGGGTTCGGAGACTTCTGGGATTTAGGGTTTGATGTAGGGGCCTTAGTAATCAGAATAGGGTTCCTTTTAAGGGATTCAGATAGGGGCCTTAATAATTTGAATAGGGTTTTGGGGCCCATCATCCTAAAATTAGAATCAAGAACCCCCCAAAATAGAAAAAGGTAAGTAGTAAGGGCCCTGGAGATTTCAGCTTGATACGCAGGGTTGTCCGGGCCGTTTCTGATAGTAGCGAAACCCGAAGCCACCCAGGGGCGGATAGCACAGAACCCACGGGTCTCGCTATTTCGGGTGTTGGTTAGTCTTATTGGAGAGACTACAGATATCCTTTGTGCGGTTTTTTACGAACTTTGAACTACTTGAGGAGCCCTGAGTACATGGAATTCGGACGCTTCTGTCTTTGCATGTATATCTTTGTGCCCGTAGGTAGAGATGGGCATACATACGAATGAAGCGGTTTGCATCGGAACGGGCATTCAGCTTTTTTGTCTAGGTTTTTGCTCTGAGACTTAGAACTACTTCTCGAAAGCTCCTGGGCCTGTGGCGAGGAGCAGAATGCAGATGTCAAGCTCTTGGCTGCGTGAATTCCTGAGCTCCAGAGTTCTGAGGTCTTGATTATAATACTATAGCATATGACAAGTATATCATACTATACTATTTCAAGTATACTGTACTGTACTACTTCAAAAAGAGCGTTTTTTGGGTTCTGTAGGATTCGACTCCTGGAGTCGCCTAGGTTGTGAGGAACACTGCTATCCTGAGTTTTTGTTAAGAAATTAATTCAGTTAACTTAGCATGTGGCATATGACCGCACTCTTGTCCAGGCGGTAAGCGCAAGGGTGTGAGATTGCTCCAGAGGCACCAAGACCTGCTTGGATCCTGCAAAACGATTAGGGGTTTAGGTTTTAGGGAGTAAGCATCCCTCTGTCCATTTCCGCTGAGGCTCTCTCGAAGGTACTACGGGCATGCCGAGGACAGAGCCTTTGCTTGCTGACTCTGTGAAGCTTAAATCCTGAACCTTAACCCCTTCAGCCCTACGGAGAAAGAGCCACTGCACTTCTAAGAAAAAACCTTAAACCCTACATCCTATATCTTGAAGCCCTAGAGATAGAAAACTTGTAGTAAAATGTGGAGTTTCTCACAAGCTGGAACTGTGGGTGTGTTTGTCTGAACCTTGTGAGCTGCACCACCCACGACACCACCCGTCTTACCCTCCCTGCTGCGACCCCTACATCCACGTTTATCTTTAGCAGGACGAGCAATCTGAAAACTTACCTGACAGCTGCGTGGTTGAGCTGCTACGGCTGTTTGCGCAAGGGGTGCCTGTATGTTCTCCGAGCGCTGCAGGAATTTTTCCCTCCGCAGATCGAAGATGTTCTTGGCCGCAGCCTCATGCTAGACTGCCTGAACCCTAAAACCTCGGGTCGGAAAGCTTGGGCTCACTGTTTGGTTTAGTAGCGCAGGTGAAGACCAAAGGGCATAGCAACTGCTAGTTCTGCCTCTACAGGTATAGGGTTTAGGGCGCGAAGCCTATCGTTGGGCTCTTCATGTTTTCCATTTCGTTTTTGAAGCTCTCAACTGTTGCTGCGGCAAGCTCCGGAGTGCCTGCAAAGCTACGGACACAGCAGGCGTGTGTGTTTTCGGATGCTCTCTTGTTCTTGGTGCACTCAATACAACATGCAAGTTCCCCAAACCCGAAGCCTAAATTTCGAACGCTGTTCAAGTCGGAATGCCGGCTGCAACCTCGCCTGTGGCACGCCAGTGAAAGCCTACCAGCAGCATGCTATAGCTATATTTTGGACAGCTGCGATTTCATCATGCTCCCTGAAATCTTACCTTTGGTTAGTAGGGAATGGAGGAATGGGGGACAATATAACTGCTGCTACTACTACTACTACTACTACTACTACTACCATTCTTCCCTTCCCTACTAGCCAAAGGTAAGAAATGCGAGGCCTCAAATCCAAGAGCACCGAAGCCTTCGTCACAGGCTGTTTCTCAGCCCTGGGCTTCGCAGACGAGAACCTCCTCAAAGGCATCGAAGGCCGGATTGGGGCTTGGATCAGGGTTTAGGGCTTTAGGGTTTAGGGTTTTAGGGTATAGGGTGTATAAGGTTTAGGGATTAGGGTTTAGGGCCTTCAACCATGAAAGGACGTAGTAGAAGGCACAGCCCTTATCCTCAACCACCTTGCCATCCCGCTTGTCTCGCAGAGATAACAGCACAGCAGTAAGCCCCTGTACGAGGGCATAACAGAACTTCGCACGAGTACTACTTATCAGCATGCATGCTGATAGTCCGAGCGACAACATTGTGACGGCAAAAATGATCCGAACAGTCCTTCCTGAACCTGATGATCGCGACTGCCAGACGAAGCACCTTGAAGCCTAAGCCCAGGAATAAATGCAACAACTGCTGCAGGCCGCATCCCTGAATACAATGATCCTCATTATCGAATTATCGGGACCCAGAAACAAGGTACCCTGGATGTTCAGGAAGCCCCTAAGCCGTAAACTCCTGGACCCTAAACCCTAAACCCCTCCACCCTATAAGCCCTAAAACCCTACACCCTAAGCCCTAAAACCCTACACCCTCAACCCCAAAACCCTACATCCCAAACCCCCTAAAACCTGAAAACCCCTAAACCCTAAAGCCCTACTTGGAAGGGCAGGGGACTTAGTAAGTAGGTTATAAGTAGAGTTATAAGTTCCCTAAATGGAGTTACCCCAATTATAACCCTACTTATAACCTACTTACTAAGTCCCTAAACCCTAAACCCCATAGATCCCCTTTAAGGAACCCTATAGATCCCTTTAAGGATCCCTTACTAAGTCCCCTGCCCTTCCAAGTAGAAGCCTCAACCCGAAACCTCTGGAGGCCGGATCGAAGACCTGGCCTCCGATGCGTCGCCCCGACGTGTGGGGGGTCCTGGCAGGAGCGCGCAAAGCGGAGGGCTCTCAGGGCTCATATATATATATATATATATATATATATATATAAATATATACATATATATATATATAAATATATACATATATATATATATATATATATATATATATATATATATTGGGGCTTTTGGGCCCAAAGACCATACTACATGAGGCTTTTGGGCTATCTTGATTTTTAGGAAAAGAGGACTATATGCTTGGTGAAGTAGTCACACTGTGGTATAGGTTTTTTTCTGGTTTAGGGCTTAGGGTCTGGTTTTAGGGTTTAGGGTAGCAGTTTTAGGGTTTAGGTTTGAGGGTGCAGGGGGGTCAAGCTAGCACAAAAGACTAGTAAGGACAGGGAGCAATGCTGCTTAGCAGTAGTATGCCAGTATTGCAGTGACAGACAGTAGATGTATGCAGGAAGGTGTAGCTTCCGGAGCGCAAGGACTTTATGATTTGGGTGAGATGTAGGTGTCGCGGTGTTGGGCGTTGGGGTTGGCCGCTGACAGGGCTAAGGCATTGACATGTTTAGGCCCTTTGGAGCAACTTGAGGGTCGGAATGTTTCGTAGGCAGAGATAAACATAGATCCCCAATACCCAACCTTTAAACTTTTTGGGTTCTTATAGTTTAGTAGGAATGGAAAAGTTTAACCTTTATTTCTGTGGCTTATTGGGGGTAGTAAGTAGAAGACTTCCCTGCGAATATTCGTCTTGATAGTTGCCAAGGCTGCTCCGAAGCTTGATTGTGACGTCGTCCCTTGAAACAACTACCACTATGGGCTATTAGACCTTATGGGTACCTTAATCTACCCTTAATAGGGTCCTAATAGGGATCTTTAGGGTCTAATAGCCCATAGTGGTACCCAAGTATAACAAGCAGTCAACAGGGGTCTGTCTGCGGACTTGGGCATCAGGCAAGACATGTTACTGCACACCTGGGAGCAAGGAGAATAGAGCAACGATGACAACTGTGGTGCTCCAACTGCTTTACTGCTCCATCTACGATGACTACTATGTCCACCAGAAACGTGGACACTGCTCGTGGATTGGCACTTGCCCTTGTAAGATATTATGAAAGTCGAAAGCCATGCCGGAAGCAGTAGTAGTAGTAGTAGTAGTAGTAGTCGTCGTTGTCCCGCCGTCTTGTTCTGATAAGGGTAGGTCTCTACATCATGGTCCCCTTCAGGGTTCCGTTTTACTAGGGGTGCCGTACTGTTTTGGCGGGACCCTAATCTAGAGAACTACCCATATACTACACTTTCAGAAACCCGTATAGATCCGTTCCAGGAGCCCTTAAAACGACGACCCTACTACCCATATGTGATTCTTTAAGTCTTCCGAGCTCAGGTGGTTAGAGTACTCCGAGCCGGGGCTTCCCTCCGACTCGATCCGGAGGCAAGTTGTAGAATCCAAGATTAGCATAACCCTTATCTCTAAACCCTACGCCTCGGACCTCAGAATCATAAACCATCTCTCTCTCGAGGCATTTATCTACTTGTCGACCTATCTATCTACTTCTCTATCCATCTATCGATCCATCTATCGATCCATCTATCTATCTATCTCCTATACACATGTATGTCACATGTGTCGGGTAAACTGCTTTGCTGCGGCATGCTAGGCATAATATACCGAGCTTTGGACTACCATACTGTAAAACCTTTATCTTAAAGGAACCACTCCTTGTATGAAATCCAAGTTTACATTGTTTCTCCCTGGTTACTTAACCTTTTTTCTTAAAGGAACTATTATGAAATCCAAGTTTACATTCTTTCTCCCTGGTTACTTAAAAGCCCAGTATAGGCATCGGCTTAGGGGTTGACTTTTGTTCAAAGCCTTTGGCCCCGAGCCTCAGTCTTAAGATAGACGCCTTAGTGGTGAGAGCAGGGTGTTGGGCCGGCATATTCTAGCATAAGCGCTGTAAGTTGCAGTATAAGACTATGAGATATGAGTATAGGTGTAGTCAGGAACCCTAAGGAACCCTTCGGAATAGCATCGGGCAATCATTCAAGCCACCACGCCAGACCTTGACAGGTTTCCGCGTCTCACGATCGGGTTTTGCGTTCAGGGTTAGGGGACACTGAGCCACAAAATGGCATTAATTAACGAGAACGGAAGAATCCTTTCACAAGCACCTGTCTTTGGCTTAATGTGCATATTCTCCAACGGGGGGCTTGGTCCAGACACCCCGAAACCCGGTGCAAACTCTTCAGGCTGCGGCTGTGTTTCTGGAGCTGCGGCAATAGGACATGCATCGTGCTGTGATTAAGGAGCTACTATCATCGATGCTGTGCCTGATGATAGCGAAGCTCTGCACTGGGTATTTAATCAGCGCATATTCCAGCTTCCGGAGTTGTTTCTGAATGCGCGTTTCTCTTACGAGATTGTGGATGATCGGTAGCGAGTTCGAACTTGATCTCACGGATCTGACTAGGTTATGCTAGACTGTAATATGAACTGTTATGAGACTGACAGAACATGCTGCAAAAAGTCTTAAGACACAGCTTCATACTGACTGTCCTAACACGTAGCATCGTACATTGTAGCACACCACCAGTATCGTGTATAGACGTGTTTGTGCCTCTTGTTGGAAGGCATGGCTTCCGCACACGCTCGCAGCGCTGCAGCGGCACATGCCGAACATGCGGGAAGGCAACGGAAACTGTCAGCTATTGAGGTAAGGCTTGCAGGTCTATTGTCCATGTGGAGGTGTCGTGATGTTTTAGAGTTGTTTGGCGTCGGAGCTTTGTGTTCGAGTGTCCAGGATCTTGAAACTGTTCAGCATCTACTGCGCCAGCTGGCCGATGATTTCCTAGTATAATGTGCAACACATACCAGTGCAATGTGTTCGTTCTTTTTTCTTGGGCGGTCGCCTCAGCTTTAACACGGCGATTGTCCTCAGAGCACTCAGCTTGGGAAGTGATCTGGGTGCAATTCATACTGTCGGACCCCACACCCTAAACCCCTAGACCCTCTAAAGCCCTAAACCAGGTTTCAGAGTGTGGGGTCTCAGACGTTCTAAAGCCGTCTGTCACGACTTACCATGGCAAAAAAATTGGCCTTCCAGCAAGTGTCGCAAAGGGGAACATGTGTTTTCTGGGTTTAGTGGTTTCTGGTTGAGGGTTTTAGGGGTTGGGGATTTAGGATTTAGGTGATTCTACAGCGGACCAAGGTGGTGGCATCACCCATCATCCACCCATCATGCAAACACTTACCTTTGGTTAGTAGGGAATGGAGGAATGGGGGTACAATTATAACTACTGGTACTATTACTACCATTCCCTACTAAACAAAGGTAAGAACATGCTGGTCACGTCTTAGCTGCCGGGAGCAGGGAGTGCCGTCTGGTTGGGAGATGAGTCGGTGCGGGAAGGACGCAGCTTCAGACGTCGGTGTTGCTTGACCAGTTCCTCCTCCCGACCGCAGAAAAGGAAAAGTATGAAGATGAAACTGTGTGATATTGAAATATATATATATATATATATATACATACATATATATATATATACATATATATATATACATATCTATATCTATATCTATATCTATATCTGTATCTGTATCTATATCTATATCTATATCTATATCTATATATACATATATCTATATCTATATATATACATATATATATATATACATTCGTATCATGTTATCACCAGATTGCAGGGCCTGCGCAGTCATTTAGGCTCAAGAAGTTGACAGTGGGAAGGCTCCGATCGACCAGAGCCACCATGGACCAAACAGGCCAATTCGTGTCACCTTCGGTGTCGCTGCTCTCTGGTGAGACTCTGGTTCTAGACGATCTGCCAGCGGGCACTCGAATTTCTGATGTGAAGCAGCACCTGCGGCGGCGCTGGACACACCTGAAGGACCCCAGCTAGACTGGACTTAATTGAGATACCTGTAGCGAACTTATGTGTGGAGCTTGTCCGTGAAGCATGACAGGAGTCTGCACAGTTGTCGGATGCTACGGACCGTAAGTGATCAATGCCTTCACCTGGAGACGTCAATCTTTGAATTTGAATGAAATTATAGACTGTCTGCAGTTCACACAGAGACCCTTCGTTACCGTAAGCCCTACCTTAACCCCAAGTAACCTACCTTTTTAGGGACTTATATAAAGAAACCATATTAGGAACCCTGAAAAGGCAGGTTCAGATAAACTTTAAACCTGTTGACAGGAGAAGGCGATTCAGCTCTCCGATGGAGTGCGGAGACTTATCAGCAAGTGGAGAGCAACCTTCGGAGCTCTTCAAGAAGTTTCAGACAAATTCACGACTCCATATGGGAGTTTCCGAAAATTAGGGGTGCCCTATTTTGGGGTCCTCATAATAAGGATCCTATTATTCAGAGTACCATATTAGGAGGGTCCCCAACTTTCGGAAACTACCACATAAAATCCGGAGTTATAGGATACCACAAAATTGTAAGGGCTCCTACACTGGGTATCCCTGTTATCTGAAACCGCAGATGCTGTCTGCGGGTGTAGGGAAACAAACATGCCTTAAACACTGAACCCCTTAACCCTAAATCCTAGACCTTAAGTTGCGCAGCTGGAGGATGCTCCGCGACACGGAGGTCCTCCAAGACGTTGGCTCCAAGATGACAGTCGTGATAGGCCGATGCTGCGAACGCTGTTGAAGGTTTTAAGGGATAGGGTGTATGGTTTAGGGTTCAGGGGTTTACGGCTTCAGGGTGGCAGGGTTTAGGCTTGACGTTTAACTATTGTCCACCACCAAACTCGTGCTTTGGACCCGAGAAGTCTTTTAGCGACCAATCGTCGGACAATAGTTCGGGGAGGCAACGTTTCGTTGTCGGCCCCCTATTCAAAGCCGACATCATTCTCGGAGGAGGGTTGGAAGGAGAGCTCGTTTTCAAGTTGTTCGGTTCCCTAGCATCCAACACTCGAGTATTGCCTGAATAACATCGGGGGCCTAAGCCAGTACCAATATTGCTGCAAGGGGATTCCTTATTGTAACTATATGGTAACACTGTAACATGCCCCAAAACCCTATTCTAACCAGTAAGTATACTGCATTAAGGCGCCTATAGTTGGAAGCGACGCTTTGTGGACGGAGTTGGGCGTCCTGGGAGACTAGAATAAATCTTTGTACCCCAAACTGCCGTTGTTCAAGCTTTTCAGGCCCCTATCTTGTAACCCTATATCCTAAACCCTAAACCCGATGTTAGATACCCCTATATCATAATCCTATCTCCTAAACCCCAATCCCGATGATATATACCCTAAGCCCTATATCCTACACCGATATCATATACCCCTATATAATATACTAGATACGAAGACGTCGCGAGGCGAGGCCTCCACCTGCAGCGTGGAGGAGAAGCAATCAGTTGCATGCCTGTTTTCATCGGAGAACATTAGGGAGTTTCCAAAACCTAGGGGTGCCACATGTTTGGGGTCCTTATATAAAGGATCCTACCATTTTAGGGTACAAAACTAGGCAAAAGAGCGGTGTCAATCGTACGCGCTGTGATGCCATCGTTGGTCAGATGGTAAGACCATGCGTTGCACGACCGCTTGTATGCACGGCAAGTCGGGGACCGAACGTGTGTGATAGCGAAAGTGCGAGAGAATGCGGGACCCAAGTACAGACACCAATTCTTGGCCCTAAATCATGGTGCTAAGTGCTAACAATAACACTAGTAATCATAATTATCTATCAATAACAGTACGATCCTATTTTGGGATCCCTGGTTCAACAAACCCTCCACCTGGCTGGCAGGAGGCCATGAAGGCCATCAACGCTACATGCACAGAGACGGGGAAGAGCTACAGCTGCAAGGCCAGCGTTTGGTCTCTTGAAGTGCGGGGATGGTTTATAGGATTCAGGGGAGAGAGAGTGAGAGGGCGGCGAGAAAGGAAGACCGAGGGAACGGTACAGACAAAGGGAGAGAGCGAATACTAGGAGAGTTTGCGACACTAGGAAGCAGGATCGCGTAGCTTCACAGCAGGGGATGTGGGTCACGAGCCAGACTCCTGAAAGGGATAAGATGCACCAGTCACAATGCTCGGACAGATTGCAAACAACTTAAAACAACATCCATGTCCCATGTCCATAAGAGCGCAAATAAGATCACGTGTCCCCGCAGCTGTTAGCTGGAGCCGGCCAACCCGACCAAAGGGATCCATCAAAAGAGATCTTTGATGGAGTCCTCCCTGCCGGAGCGCTCCCGCCTCAAGCTGAAGACACCTTCAATGGAGACCCTGGCTAGGAGGCATCGCGAGCTCGAAGAGTCTGACAGGATGCGATTACTGCCCGCCCAGCTGCGACAGAGCTGGTCTGTGACAAACTCGGGCACTTATGGCGTGATTTTCACGGATGGCAGACACGCCTTGAAGGTGTCCATTCGGGGTATGGATCCCTCGAGGGAGCAGTTATGCGAGAGGCAGGTCACTGAGGCGGTAGTGTACAGTTTGGCTTCCCGGATGCTCTCCGAATTCGGCACACCGGCCCCCCGAAAGGCGAAGCTGCTGGATCGCTGGGGAACGGGTTCCCTTCGAGGTACGGACGACTGCTTGCGATCCCACCTGGTCCTGGACCTACTCCAGCCGGATGTACAGCTGCCGGGAGAGAATCTAGGTAAGCTACGGAAATATCTTGATTTTGTGTTCTTCCGTTATTGTTTCAAGCGGATCCTACACTTATCAACGCTACTTTTTGGAGCTTTCAAAGGGCCAACCTAGGAAGCTGCTTCTGTCGGTGCAGCTGGGCCAAACTGACCTGGGAGTTAATGCTGGCTCTTTCATCGAAGGTCCCCCGGCACTCGTCGCTGGGCAGAACAAGTCACAAGGTTGGAGGAATATGAATGGTGCTGTTTTTGCAAAGACTGTGGGTCGCGAGGTTGCGGAGGAAGCCTTGCATGATGCTGGCTTCCTGCACGGATACTTGGAGACTTTCGGTATTTTCCTGCATGACTCAGAGATGATATGGGGAACGGTCGGCAACGGGCGCGCCTGCCTTCATGTGCTTGATTTCGACAAAGCCATCCTTAACTGCAATCCCGACGACATCGAGAGGCTGCGGTTCAGCGATCCTGTCTTCCCGCGTCCTTCACAAAGAACCGAGGTGGCAGATTACTGGGGTGCCGTCTTTTGGCGCGGTTGGAGTGCCGGGCAGCGTGCGGCCCAATCCGTCGTAGAGAAGAGTCGGATGCTCCGTGGGCCGCACGGAGCCGCCGATCGTTTCAAGCAGTACTTTCTCAAGTCTCTGCGCCAAAATTGTACAGTTCGGCGCTCCGACAGCGGCCCTAGGATTACTGTAGGGGCTTAGATAATTTTTGCCAATACTGTTTTGGGGGTTCCTTATTATGATTATAGTCTAACGGGCCCCACAACCCTATTCTGATTATTAAGGCTTCTTATTAAGGCCTCCATCTTAGGGAGTAGTGTTAGATCTCGCACATGGAATGATCTTGCTCTCGCCAAAAGCCCGGCCAAGAAATCTGTGTGCGAAGCGGAACTATAGTGTTCGAGAGAGCCCTATGCACAACAGAATCGGCGAACGACGATGGTTGCCCAGATGAGCAAGCTTCACTCAAGATCTTTGTTGCACCTTCTCGTGAGAGGAACGTGAATACTTTGGAATTCACGACATGTGGTTTGTATGTCCTTATTCGTCGAAAGCACCAGCCATACAGATAGTAGGTACTGTACAGCAGAGCAACAGCGAACAACACAGTCAATAACCATGACAAAGATATCCATCATGAAATATGTCATGTAGTAGCCCTGATGTCCCGGAATCCTTGCTAGTTTGCAGCCAGAAAGGTCGTCTCCTGGGATGATGTCTGCCGCAGTCATGGGCCTGCCGATGCTCTGAGCGCTGGTGGGCCCAACATCACGGACTCCAGGCACTTGCAGGGTCCTGTCAACTGCCAGTTGCCGAGACGAGGCTTCGTATCAAGAACCTACAACCAAGTCGGTGAATGGAAGCTGAAAATGGTATAAAATGAATGAGTTGCTAACTCTCGTGTGTAATCGAACTTTGAGCCCAAGCCGACAAGCCTTTGTTTATTTCATAGAGGCATAGAGGTATATATACCTGTAGTAACGTGCTCCGTAGCAGCATGTGTTTGGATTGTGTCGGCCTTCTTTCCCTGCAGCAAAGACGAAATAAACGAAAAGTCTTTGCTCGGTTCACATGTACATACACGAAGCATGTATAAGATAGCATAACTGTGTATATATATATATATATATATATATATATATATATATACACACACACGTGCTTGTTTGAGTTTGCTTGTCTTGGTTATCCGGGTATACCAACTGGCATACATGCATACCTGCATGCATCTGCACATACCGCTACATACGCACGTGCTAGCAGACATCTATGAGCTGTGCTTGTCTCTGCCGTTGTGTCATGCACTCGGACATAGATAGACAACAAATCGATCAATGTCCGCCCCCTCCTGCACAGCTTTTCCCAGCGTCGTGCGCAATAACGGCAACCTGCTTCCGGGGTCCCGTCGATGTCAAATGATTTCAGCGACAACAAATGACAAGCATGACAAATCCGGATTGGACATTCCGCAGCATCCGGGCCGCCCGACTTAGAGAGTGTAAACTTTGCATTTCGACACTCGCTGCAGGTCAAGTGCTTCCGACAAGCACATCATACCCCAACCCCATGTGCAAATTTGGTTAAGTCTTTTACGCGGCTCGTGGCGAGAGCAAGTGGTCAAATGATTGCAGCGGTACACAGGACACCAGCACAACGTACGTGCGAGTCTGGATTACCTCGCACTTTCGGCATAGGATTCAACGGATGCTTCTCACCATACAAGACGTACGTGACATGGGTTGCGAATGTGGTGACAGCGAGCGACAAAGCCCGGAGGGCAAAAGGACACGTTTAGTTCTGCTTAGTTTACATCGTGTTGATGTAAGCTGTGTGAACAATCAAAACTGGGTAGTTGTCAAAATTATGGCCCCAGTTTGGGTACCCTCAATGTTCGGTGCCGTACTATAATAGGGACCCAAAAAGGGACCCTAATTTTGACAACCACCCAAACGGTCCAAGGCAAAAGTTCAAACGACGGGACAGCGAAGCCATGCCAAGCCTTTGCCCTATGCCTCCCGGGACCTTATTATGGGGTCCTTAAAGGGTCTAGGGCCCTAACTATGAGGTCCTTGGAGGGATAGGGTTGAACCAAGCACATCCTGAACACACCAACAAAAGCTACATCTGCGTTTAGACCGCCCGCGACCCGTTGGCTCAATTCAAACGACGTCAAGCCTCAGCCCCGAACACTTTGTTGAATACCCTATACCCTATAAACACCATAAGCCCTAAGCCCGCAGGGCGGCAAAATCCTAAAGCCCCCCACCTGCGACAGGCTCAAGGCCCGCAGTGGCCAAGCTCTGTGCCTCGGACATCTTGGCGTCTCTCTATGGGACTTAACGCAGCTTCGTGCGTTACGATTTCGGAGTTTAGGGTTCAGGATGGGTTCAGGCTTAAGGGACTTCGGGCAGTGGGTTTGGGGGGTTCCATTTTCTGGGTGGAGGATTTTGGGGCCTTAGGGTTGAGTGTACAGGGCCTGTGCGGAAAAAGAGTTGTTCTGATGGGAGGGCGTGGTCGGTGGGTGGGGTTTTGTATGGGTGCACCAAACAGAAGTTACACTATTGTATCGGTAGGCAAGTATGTATTACGGGATTAGTCCTACGGAATGTTGAGAATGCTGCTTGAGGTTGTGTCACATGTTTGCTGAGGGTTTTGTGGCCGAGTATCCACAGCAAGATTCCATCCTAAAGCGACCATTGATCCTGGTCAGGTACACAGTGCGGAGCTGCAACTGGAACGAGAGGCCGGACCCGGTGGGCCTGTGTTCAGGAGCAGAGCATAAAGCTTCCAAAGCCAGTGCCAAAGGGCAGGTGCATAGCTTAAAATTGCGAGAGTTTTTTTAGCATGTGCATGCTTGCCGAAGGTTTGGTTTCAAACGGATTCAAGCTTGGAAGGTTGCGGTCTTCTTCCTATCCCTTTTGTCTGTCTCACTCTTCCTTTGTGTTTGCCCCTCCTTCCCTCCACCCGTGTGTCAGCGTCCTAGGCCTTAAGCCCCCAACCCTAAGACCACATGGCCCAACCCCGCGTGTACTATAGGGGCCTCATAATTAGAATCAGAATAGGGTTTGGGGTATATCATAGTGTGTTTATAATAAGGAACCCTAAGGAATAGTATTTGTAATTATTCCGGCTTGCACAGAATTTGTCTTGGTACATCCACGAGCTGCTGCGCCCATTCATCCAACCGCCAGGCTTGGGAAAGTATCGGCCGATGAGATCTTTGTGCTCGTCCCTGGACAGGAGGACAGGATGTAGTGGACATGTGGATGTGTGTGTGTGTGTACGCATGTATGTTTGTACGCATGCATGCATGGATGGATGCATGAATGGATGCAATTATGTATGTATGTACGGATGTATGTATATGTATGTATGTATGTATGCAAATATAAATATCTACATACATACACATATGGTATGTATGTGCTGTGCGCATGTCTAATTTGCCAATGTACCGGCATAATGCCAATATGTATATGGATATAAGCCGCTTCCGCGTGGGGGCCCAAACTCGGTGGTATTTTTATTTTTTCCATGAATGCTAGTCAGTCCTCCCAGACGACCTCTGTTAAACGACCCACCCGACAGAGAGAGAGAGAGAGAGAGAGTGAGTGAGTGAGTGAGTGAGTGAGAGAAAGAAGGAATCAAAGAAAGAGATGAAGCTGAGATTCCGCAGAGCTGCACCCAGAGCTAGTCGAAAGGCAAAGGGCTCCGGTTGCTACATGCCCGCTCCCCCAGCAGGACAAGCAGGAGCTTGCACCTGTCTCGTTGCGAGAGTACTTGAAGAACATTGGCGAGTACGGAGGCTATGCAGGCGAGTGGGCTGGGATTTCAACGTGTCTTACTTCCAAACCCAGATCATGCCGACTGCTGACGCGAACGGTGCATGCTTCGCCAGTGGTAAGACAAGTTGCGGGGGCTTTTGTGCAGGTCTTGCGCCTGACACGGATCTATCGGATCTAGAAGCCGACGATGCGGTGAGCATCAGGCAGCTTGCAGGATGTATTGACGAACCATCTGCAGGGCTGGGGATGTAGGAGACTAGAGTACAAGAGACAATTCTCTGTCTTCCTGTCACCCTACAGCCTGACACCACTCCTTTTCGCAGTGCTGCCAGAGGCCACGTACAGACCACTAGGAACACCTCATCATGGCAAAACTGTGTCATTTTTAAGAGATTTACTCTACGTTTCCACAAGAAGGTAGCCATATTACTTACTATAAACCCCGATTATGGTAACTTACATTATAAATCCCTGTATTATTAAGGAATCTAATCTTAAATTTCCTCAACAAGAATCCGGAAAAGCCAAGCTGTGCTTTATCAGGGCCTTGGAGCGAAGCCCTCGCTGGCAGGTTTCAGACCACCTTCCTTCCTGTCCTGGAGGACTCTGGGGACCCTTAATGGGGGCCCCTACCCTATAATGGGCTATATAATGGGTATATAATAGCTATACCACCTTCCTTCCCGTCCTGGAGGACTCTGGGAAGGTACTACGGTAAGTCCAGGTCGAAGGCAGCCGTTTACTGTTCTCTGTTGTAGTACCGAGGTCGAAGGCAAAGGTTTATGGTATTCTACTACAGTACATGGTATGATAGGATATGATACTATCTTATCTTGTGCTGTGGTATATTGTATGATGCTGGGGCATAAAGCAGTCGGCTGGTGAAACGCATCGCAGCTGTGCATCAGAATGGCACATAGTTGCTACCGCAACGTACCTGTTGGGCACCCATCTCCTTGACTTTTTCTGACCTTCCCCAACACTTAAGCTCTAACGTAAACACCATGCGCACAAACCCACGTTCAACCCGGAAGCAACGGCTGCAGAACTAAAGACATGCCTTTCTCAGCTTCCACTTCGATTCCAGCCTTGGTTCGTGCGTTTACTTCCTGTGGCCTTCGACAAGCACATGCTTGGCTTGTGTGTGTGTGTACGTGTGTGTGCACGTTACCTGTACAATGCACAAATCTGCACACCTCAGCTCCGCGCGAGGACGGAAGTATGGAATTCTGCGCGGAGGCTTACAACTACCAGACCCGGTCCGAGGACGGCTGAGGGCAGGTACTCATGTTGTAGATCAGAGGAATGTTCTAGCAAGGTCCTGGTTTGGGGCCGTTTAGTTTCATCTTGATCAGAGGAATGCTCTAGTAAGGTCCTGGTTTGGGGCCGTTTAGTCACATCTGGATCAGAGGAATAGTCTAGTAAGGTCCTGGTTCGGGGCCAATTTGGTCTCACCTCGATCAGATAAAATTTTCCAGTAAGGTCTTGATTTGGGACCTTTAAGTCTCATCCTTCTCAGGATTCACGGGTGACCCCCTTTCCAGGAAGATCCGAAGAACCTGGTCCTTCTCTGCACCTCGCAAGGCCCCGGTGGGCTCAGGGTTGAAGGGTGCATCCCTAAACTCTACGCCCTAAACCCTAAACCAGGCTTGCGCTGGGCTTCCGATGGGCCAGAGATCCAGTGAGTCCACCCAGGGGTTGGGAATCAAGCTTTCAAGCCGGGAAGAAAAGAGGTAGAGGCCGGAAATTTCTGAACCTGAACACTTCGGTGCGCTTGGAGACTTTGAGGCGTTCATCTATAATTCCTTGAGCCGACTAAGGGTGCAGGCAGCCTCAACATTGCGTGACATCATTCCCGCCCTACCCTCACAACTCACCATGCCGCCCAGGGGCAGCTTTGCAACAGCAGGGCATGGGTAATCAGCGGCTCTTCTTGCATGACGTCCAGGTGCCTGGACTCGATCTGCTCAACATGCACTGCTTAATATAGGGGCCTAAATAATTACCTATGCTATTGTTGGGGGCTCTTTATTATTATAAGTAATTATAGTATAATGGGCGCCAAAAGCCTATTCTAGTTATGAGGGCCCCTATATTAACTTTAGAGTTCTTTTAGGATGCCGGGGCCTTCGAGCTTTGTGGGTTCTGATCGATTCAACGAACCTGCCATGCAGACGTTCCTGGCTTGACGTTGCACTTACCTTTGGTTAGTAGGGAATGGAAGAATGGTAGTGATAATAGTAGCTAGAATTGTACCCCATTCCTCCATTCCCTACTAACCCCAGGTAAGCTATAGGATTATTAAGGCCCCTGTATTATAGTACCCTTATAGATCCCTTATAGTAACCTTTTTTGACCCCTTTATAAGGGCCCTTCCATTCCCTACTAACCAAAGGTAAGTGCACCATTCTGATCTCAGGCATCCTGCACCTAGAGGCCCAGCTACCTACAGTGCGGGCCGCACTTCTTGAAATAACGTTGAATGTACCTTCGTATAGTGGGCAATTACATAGGTAACCTGGGGCCGACTACGATAGGCGCCTTTATGATTACCTTTGCTAGTTTGGCGGGGGGGGGGGTATTCATTACAAGTATAGTATAACATACCGCAAAACCCTCTTCTAATTATTAAGGCTCCTGTATCAGGGTAAGTAGGGGATTCCCTACAAAGTTCGTTGAAATCTCCAGTCGACTTACTTACGTTTAAGGATTCAGAAGCTCAGGGCAATGCCCTAGCTTAGGGTTTAGGGCTTACCTTAAGCCAGCATAACCTACCTTTTTAGGGTTTCTTATTATGATTTCCTCCTTATCCCGGGTTAAGGTGGGGCTTAACCCTTAGTCAGGGGATGACCTTAAGCCCGAAGTCAGGGTGAGAGGACCAGTTCCAAGCCCTACATCCGAAACCATAAGGGCCTTCCGAACATTAGGGGTACCTTATTTGGGGTCCTGATAATGAGGGTTCTACTATTTAGGGTACTTTACTAGGGTCCCCTACCCGAACAGGCTGTTAGGCTGTTTGGAGAGCTCTTGTGAGAGGCTTCCTGTGAGACCAGCAAAGTATGGGATACTAGGATTGGATTCTTTCCAATCTTGCGACAGTGCCGTTGTAGCTGTAATACGCAGTACTGCAGCAGCGTGGGTATTGAACTGTGACTATTCCCGTTAGTGTTGTCAATATGCTCATGCAGTGATCTGATAGCTGCTACTGATTACTGTCATCCGCGTTATCAAGATTGGACCAACCCTAAACCCAAAACCCTAACCCCCTAAATTAGGGGCTTCGATCAGATTTTCAAAGCCGTTCCTGAAACACGAGGCCGATGGCCGCGTTTCGCGGAGATGGCTGGAGGCTCGGATACCCATAGGTCCCATAGTAGTTCCTTTTAGGGGATCATATTTAGATTCTATCAGGTAGTCCCAAAAAGGAACTACTTTGGGGCCTTTGGGTAAAGATGACACGGGAAGTCCCTGTAAGGGCCCAAGGAATCTGAGCTTTCCTGACGCTAGGTTGTGCAGCCGCGGGATTGGTCTTGGTGTTGGCATAGGTGCAAGATCGTATCACCGACACTCTGAGGGCCTTGCTCCAATCAGCCAGGGGGGAACGTTCCCAAACCGGGCGAATCAAACAGGCGCAGCGCACCGGCCATCGGGTGGGCGGCAGCCAGGCCAGGAACCTTACTCAACCTTAAACCCTAAACCCAACAAACCCTGAAACCCCAAAACCCCTCAACCCTGAACCCGCCCAAATCTTCAAACAACCCCCAGGCACAAACCATAATGAAACTCGGGGAGCGTCCCCTCTTCGGGTCTGGTGGAGCATTGTAGAAGCAACGAACGTCTTTCTAAGATCCACAGAATTTAGGGTTCAGGGCTTTCGGCGTAGAATTTCCAGAAACATGGGGCAGAATACCTTCAGTTACGATTGTGACCTGCTAACATCTGTCAGAGGCATCGCGCAACCCACCCTTGTCCGGGGAAGCGGGCTGAAGTGAGATGCAAGATGCAAGATTGCAGGATGAGGTTTGTTACAAAACCAGGAGGGACAACCAGAATGTACAGCGCATCACTGAGAGTAGAAGTGTGTGAGTTAGGAGGAGTACACAGACTAGCACGACTACTACTAGTGGCATCGCCGTCCGCGTCGTCTTCCGCGTCGTCCTCCGCATCATCGTCCTCACTAAACCCTAACTATTTATAGTCTCCGCTGCAATTCCTGTTGGGAGTTACCTGATAGGATCGGGGTCACCTTATAGGATCGTAAGTAAAACAAATTCGTTAAACAAAAAGAGGAACTGCAATGGAGACTAGGTACCCATAGGCCCCAAAGTAGTTCCTTTTTGGGACTACCTTTTAGAGTTCTAAATATGAACCCCTAAATAGGAAATACTATGGGCCTATGGGTAAGCTCTGAGCTGCACTCGTTTGTGAGCCGCAGGAAGAGAGCAGCGAAGCGGCAGCTGCTGCTGCCGAAGTGGCCGCGGCCGCTGCAGAAGCTGCTGCAGAGGAAGGGCTTACCCAGACCCCAGGGAGGATCCAAAAAGTAGATCCCTTAATGGGGGTTCCTATAAAGTACCCTTAGTAGTATAGGGGGGATCTACTTTCTAGATCCTCCCGGGGGTTTGGGTAGGGATTCTTAGGAGGAGACCAAAAGGGATTGAGTAGGGATTAGGGTTCCGATAATAGGGAATCCTTACCCCAAGAATCTTAAACCCCCTCTTTTGTAGGTCCATGAACAATCCGCATGTTTCTCGGTGGGAGATCTACATCATTAGCTGCTAGCGACCTGAACCTATTTCGAAACCCATACCTCGAACTCCGACACCCCACACCCTCCAAATCCGAAAGCAAAAGTGGCAACCCACACGTACAAAATCTCTCAAACCTCACAGCTGGCTTAGGCATAGGGTCTAGAATGCTTCAGGCGCGGGAAGCTGCGGAAGCGTTTCAAGACGGCTCTGAGTCTGCGGAGGCCACCTTACCTTTGTGGACTGCTTCCGAAATGATTACTGGATGTTGTGGCTTCTTTGCTTCTTGCTGGATAGTCATTTTCCAGGGAGGCCGAATACGCATTCATTCAGGAATGTATTTTGAATCAGCATATTGAAGCATATACAATTTCAGGTGTCCTTAGCTGGGCTCCGTCGCATCCCAGTAAATAGAAGCTTGAACAATTACCCACATCCTTCCTTCTGCGTTCCTTTTAAGCAATTGCACTATAGTATGCAACAAAATCCCATTCTAGCGTAATCATTAAAGCCCTTCTTTGAGCCCTATCTGTAATGCTTGAGATAGCCCTTCAAAGGAGCCCAATTCTAATCCTGAAGGCCCCCAGATAATGTAGGGGCCTTAATGATTAGAATAGGGTTTTGGGGGCTCCTTGTTATAATTATAGTATAATATTCCCCCAGACCCTCTTCCAATCATGAAGGCCCCTATACTGTACCCTTATAGAACTCTCTGTACGAAAAGAGCCCATTGTAGGAGCCTTGTTCCAATCATTCAGCCCCTTACATTATAGTACCCCTACAGATCCAGTACAACAGTAAGCCTTATAGACCCTTTTAAATAACTACGGCCCACTACATTATAGTACCCCTTACATTATAGTACCCTTATAGATCCTTTTAACCCTTATAGACCCGTTTAAATAACTAAGGCCCACTACATTAGCTGACCAGGCCCAGGAGGCCCTTCGCGTGGCAGCAGAGGCCCAGGAGGCCAGCCGACAGGCAGCGCAGGAGGCAGGGCACTGTAAGGGTACCATAAAGGTACCATGCGGGTACCATGAAGCTACACTAAAGGTACCATGAGGGTACCATAAGGGTACCGTAGAGGTACCATAAGGGTACCAGAAAGGTACCATATGCGTAGCAGGGGTACGATAAGGGTACACAGTCACAAAGGGGTACCATAATACCATGTGGTCACTGAATCCTAATACCCTAGACCCCATAATATGGGTTTGCAGGTTTGGGGCTTTATGGCTTTAGAGAACGGCATGGAGCACCAGGAAAGGCCACGGGTTTCGTGTTTAGAGGTTTAGGGCTTGGGTCAACAAAGTGTTATCCGTATCAGAAGGCACTGGTGGAATGGCACAGGCCCTGCCCCATACTTAATGCTGAAGAGGTTCGATTCTCGATTGATAAGGCCGGGGTTGGGTCCGACCCTGCGCAGCCGTAGACTGAGGATTTTATTCGAACCGCAGTCTTTAAAACAAGCTGTGACGTCGCCATCGAAGCTTTGCAATCATGCGGATGGAAGGGAATCGGGAATGGCCGCAATTCTGAGTCTTAGTTCTGAGGCAGGTCAGATCCCGCTCAACACGAGGTGCAGTTCGTTGACTGTTAAGTGTATGGGTCGAAGCCTCAAACGTCTCTCTCTAGAACCGATCTTGTTCCAGAAGGTTACCTGTTTGCATGCTTGCTCCTGCATTGCTTTATTAACAACCACTCCTGCAAGATCACGTGTCATGTTCCTGTTTGCTTCTTCACCATCGCCTCTCTTATGTTACTGGCGATGCCGACAACTACGACTACGACGGCTGCAACTACAACTGCTATTACCACCACACCACTACCACCATTGCTACCACCAGCGCGACCACCACCACCATCGCCACCACCCTGCTGCTGCTGCTGCTGCTGCTGCTGCTGCTGCTGCTGCTGCTGCTGCTGCTACTATTACTATCGCCATTATCATTACTCTTGCTATTGCTATTGCTTTTGTTTTACTCGTAGCACTACTAATAACTAATAGTACCAGTACTAGTACTCGTACTGTAGTTGTGGTAGTAGTAGTAGTAGTACTACTACTACAACTACTACTACTACCTCTACTATTACTACTACTACCTTACCACTACTACTACCACCAAGAATTTCGCAATACTTACCTCCTTCGTCTTAATGTTCAGGCTGCAGAGCGCACTGCTCGTGCAGCGGAGGCAGGGCGGCTGAAGTCCACGGGCTGCTACTGTAGGGGCCTTAATAACTGCCTAGTTACTATTCCTTAGGGTTCCTTTAAAGGGGTCTATAAGGGATATTATAAGGGCTTTTCTAAGGATATAATGTAGGGGCCTTAACAATTACCTATACTATTTCGGGGGTTCCTTATTATGATTACAGTATAGTGGGGCCCAAAACCCTATTCTAATTATTAAGGCCCCCACGTTGCATATATCTCGTGAGGCCTTTCAGCTTTAGAGCTTGGGGTTGAGGGTTTAGGGTATCTCGTCTCATGTTCTGCATGTTCACGGTTCAAGGCCGCACACCATCACGTAGATCCTGAATTTAAGCTCTGACGTGCTGGTGGAGCCATAATGGATGGAATGCAAGCTCAACTAGGTATCATTCCCAAAGCTGGGATGTGTGCTTCCGATGTTTGGGGAAGCAAACGAGACCTGTGATCGAGCGTCGTGGCTGTCGTTGCTGCCATCATCGGCTTCTGTCTCAACGACTACTGCAACGACTTACTCTAGGAGACATTCTCGCGTCTTTGTTTGCTAGTCGTAGCAGCGCTGGCTTAGGGCTTATCACCGTCTTCACTTTCAACATGAGCAGCGTCGTCATCGTCTTTAAGGCCTTGAAGCCTGGTCCAACAACGCTGCAGCTTTCAAGTGTTTGAGAAGTTCTCAATCGGCTTTCAGTAGTACTACGATAGTACTGCCAGTCCGATCTGTTTGCGAGTACCATCGTACTAACAGCTCTCATCACCTCCTGCTACCACTATTATGATCTGATAACAAGACTAGCAGTGTGAAAGAAGAAGACTACAGGTACTCGTCGGTTGCTACTGCCACGACCGATCCGACCGGCTTGGTGCTTCGAGCTTTCTGCACCGTCCCTGGATCCCATACCCCCAAAGACTCCAGACCCGAAACCTCGAAGCCCTAAATCCCTAAACCCTAAACCCCCCCCCCCCCAAGCCTCAAACCCTAAGCCCCTAAGCCCTAAGCCCTAAATCCCTAAACCCTAAACCCCCCTGTGTCAGCCTCAAATCCTAAAACCCAAACGACAGGCAGAGCATGCTGCAAGTGAGGGGAAGGCCCAGCGATCCCCATTTCTGGGAGTTCTGAGGCATTCGGGTTCGGAGGCTTCCTCGCTTCGACTCGGCTTTTGGGGTTTAGAGTTTAGGTGTTTTGGGGTTGGGTTGACGCGTTCAGGGTCACCAGAGGTTCTGGAGCTTGAAGTTTAGCGTTTTAGGGTTTGGAGGAATGAGTTTTGTAACAGGATTGGATATTCCAAACAATATTTCACCTTTCAGTTGTCAGGTGGTTTCGTCGATGTCTTCGATAGCAACGTTGTTGATGGCCCTGTCAGCTTTGGGATTCCGCAGGCAAGCCGCTGTGAGGGCAACAGAGGGCGATGGTTTAGGATTTAGGGTCTCTGCACCAAGATTCCAGATCTCAACAACTACACGTCTCATCGCGTAGCCTTCGCAGATGAATCCTCGAAGACCACATGAGCCAAACTCAAGGGTTTTAGGGCCCGGGGTGAAACCCAAAAGAACCTCCCTTCTCAGGGCTCATGATTATGAATCCCCTTATAACGTCCTTGAGAAGGTAAGTTTTGAAGGGTCCCTGTAGGGTTTGAGTCAGAATTTTTCGGATTTGGGAGGCAATCGCACGAAGCTTCGGCATGGCTGCTATGGGCAGCCGCTGCAACATGTTGATGACCATCCAGGCAGCTTGCGGCTTCTCTTAGGGTTTAGAGTTTAGGGGTTTAGGGTTCCTTATTACTGATCTGTGCTTCGCTGCTCAGACTACCTATAAGTTTGCCAACTGCGATTTCCCTCGTGCCATACTTACTGCCAGTGACTTTCTGCCAGTGTTCTTTTGACCTTCATCATTATTGGTAAAACATTGGTCACGATATTGTCGAGAAAGAGGTGTTGAATAAGGATGATGACGACGACAACGACCAGCGTGACGACCACCTCGCTAGCCCCGCAATCACGACAGGGACAACTGCAAGCGTTCTACCATGTAGTTGTCCTTGCCATGCTTCACCTGCTGCCCGTAAGACGAGGACGGCAACGCAGCAGCACTATCACCACTTGTGATTCTTCAACTATTCTCTTGTGCGGTTGTCTTGCTGCTATCAGTTTCCGAATGATTCCGCGGATGAGTGCGGATCCTAGTAGTATCATGATTAAGTGATCACTTCCATCCATTACCCTTTCCGCGGCCTCTTCTTGTCATAGCACCGACGTCTGTTCCTGGATACTGTTGCCTGGTTGCGCAATGCCCAGCTCCTTATCGCAATTACGACAACCACATTTTGGAGAAGGATAGTTGTCGCTTCCAAATTTGACTCGGGCTACTAGTTCTCCAAGCGCAATGGTATAAATACCACAAGGATTCGAGATTGAAAAACTAGGGGGCAAGTGAATTCTCAACTCACTAGGTTTCTGCAATCTGGCTTGCTAGCTGCAAGTCTATTAACACCTGTGTTACTTCTCTGAGTCTGCATTACGCTTTTGAAGCTCGCATCCCAGAGCCAGTCGCAGTTCATGAACTGCTTTTGCAATCTGTGCAAACCCTGCGAGTTTGATGATAGAGGTCCCCGAATATGGCTTCTAATTATAGCCACCCTACCTAGTAACCCCACTTGTAACTACCCCAAACCCTAAACCCTGAGGTGCCCTTGCAGCAGACAGCTCCTCCGCTTCCAAAACCGTATCTCTCCTGGCCAGCAGTTGCGCCTCCAAAGCCTGGACCGTGGAAGGGCTGTGATTTCAGGGTTTCGGGTTTAGAGGGGGCTTAAATGGGCTTAAAGGAGGCATAAAGGGGGGCTCCTACGGGGACCGAAAAGGAGCTGAGCGGGTTTTGGGTTCAGAGTTCTTAGTACGGGGCTTAAATGATTACCAACACTATTCTTGGGTTCCTTATTGTAATTATAGTAGAATGTATCCCATTAACTCAGACATAAACCACGTACTGAAGGCCCAGCATCCAAAAAGACTTTATTCTTGCGTTATTTCTCTGCGGGCAGGCACTCACAATGAGTGAGGACTTGAGATGATCTATTTGCATCTGGTCAAGAACCTGGCTTCTCTTTGAAGAAGTGCCCGCTTGTCCAGGAAGCAACTGTGGCATTGATCTTGGCGCCACAAATGCACGTGTTGCCATTTTCGAAGGGAACAGCATCTTGACAGCATGATTTGGGGCGTTACTGTGTTAGGGTCTGGGGTTTCGCTGCCACTACTGGATTTGAGAAGGGCTTGGAAACAACAGGGGCAGCTTATGGTGTTCAGCGCTCCAGCATTTCATTGAAGAGACTGGTTGCTCTCAGTCGCGGAGTCCTGCGTAACCGTCCGACAAATAAACAGTGCTGTGGAAGCTCCCCGAGTTCGAAGACTGATGGACCGAGTAAAATCCAAAGGTCCGGCAATGCCGTCTGCGATTTGTAAAGACTACATTATGGAACCTTGTCTAACAACAGCATGAACGGTGTGCATCCACGCTTTTGCCCGAGCAGCGCGTCATCGACTCCGCACCTCCTACAACCATGTTTAGTTCTCAGCGTCCGGTGCCGACTTCTCTCAGAGACTTTCGCCACAACAGCTGAGATGCCACTGTGTTGGTCAACGGGCAGGGCAACCGCGAAACTCCGTGCTGCATCGCAGTGAAGGCAGGGCCCGGATTCGGGTCTTGGACTTTACTCTTGAGCGTCTGCGGTGCTTGTAGCAAAGCGGCGACGCTTATTAAAGATATCTACGGCCATGCTCAACGAAAGGTCTGGTTCGTAGGCCTTTAATTCTCTGCGCTAAAAGTAAATTAAACTAAGGACCCTTCGCATGTGCTCAGAAATCTATCGGAGCTGTCACACCCGACATGTGATATCTGAAATATGAATACCTTTGTGCGGTTTGTCGGACTCAGACGAGCTAAAGGGCGTCAAGATACCGCAACGGTTGTCGGCTAGGCGCCACTGTTACTGCAAAACCGTAGCTGATTTGTTGAGGGGCGGCAACTTGACAATGAAAAGCAATAGACGACATGCTGTCCGCTGTTCTCTGTACACACCATCCCCTCCAAATTGAGCTCTGTTTTGTCTGTGTACCAGCGTGTGTGCTGCTTTTTGTCGCGAAAAAATGCGGATCCGGCCATTTCCCGGCCAAGCAGCGCGTCTTTTGCAGCCGCTAATCATCCAATTCTAGAGATTTCTGCAGATTACCTTGCTTCGCTTGAACTAGTGCTTGGTACTTGGAGTCCTCCAGGTGTAGGCATTCTCCTTCCACCGGTTTCCTAAGCACACACAGCTGGACGAGACTTGAAGTTGCTTCAATCGATTGAGCTTTCCTTCAAGGCGCCTAACCTTGCTACGATGAGAAGGATCACCCAGAAGCAGCGGTAAGTTGTTGCAAGCCCCAATCTATGCCCTACGGAGAGAAGGACGGTCAGCTCTTGGTGGGCGAAGCAGCACAAGCGCCGCTCACTGGCATCAGCATGCCAATTGCGGCGTTTGAGTGGTTTCTTGTTGGTGGCACGGGCACAGGCACAGGCAGGCCGAGAAAGAGAGACAGAGGCAGGCAGGCATTTACATCAACCTGCGTGCATGGGCAGCCCCACGTCTACATGCCAACCTGTCTGCGTGTAAGCACAGGTGAATACATGTAGAAGTATAGTGTGCTTGTCATGCACCTACGTGTACTCAGATGTATACAGCGTTGCACTTGCATAAGAGAACATACTTTGTAGTCTACACTGTGCCGTGCTGTATGTTCCAGCCTCTTACACAAAGTTTGAGTATGTGTCTTGCCGTATTGAAAGGGGCTAAAACATCTGACTGTTGGAAGGAGTGGCTTACCGGCAGAGGACATTGCACCTTCACAGCATTGAGGTTCTGGCCTTCTGTCGGGCTCTGTTTGAAGATTCCGGGTTTCATCATCCGCGACTGCAAACACGGAAGCAGCAGCACCATCAGCAGCAACGACAACAATAGCAACATCCGCATCTTTGTCTTCATCACTATGCCCTCAAGACCCTCCTCGCTGCAGCTTGCCACCGCCGCCACCGCTGCCACCACCGCAAACACACCTAGTAACTGCATCGGCATAGCAATGACCGCTTAGACTGATGCTGGGTTATTTTTTGAATCTTTTGAATCTATCGGTGCCATTGGCTGTAGTGGAAGGACAGTCTGAGCGGTGCCTTCCAGCAGGATTGGCGTCATGATGCCCTGCGCTCGACGTGTGACCTATACATACATACATATATATATATATATATATATATATGTATATGTAATTTTTTATTTTATAGTACAAGATATTATGTTATTCTGTGTGAATATATGTGTATATAAATATATACGTGTATATATATATATATATACATATATATATATATATAATATTAAGGTCTTCGGTGTGAAGCGACTGCTGGGACGGAAATGGACCTCTCCCGACTTGGCCGAAGACCTCCGGCGCCTGCCATTCCGGGCACCTGGGGCAGAACTGGGCGTAGGGCGCTCACGTCCTCTTTTTGTGGGTTTAGGGTTTGGGGTTTTGGTTTTGTTTTTCAATTTTTGGGTTCGTATCGGGCGTTTACCATGCTGCTTGCTAGGGTGTCAGTGCTCGTTTTACCTTTGAAGCTTAGTCTCGTTGCTCTAGTGCATTGGCACACTCTACTGTTTCGCGTGTAGCGTGGCCTTTGGTGTCTTTGCACAGTGGAGGTCTCTGTGCATTTGTGCTAGGGTTGTTATCAACAGGATGCCGCTGTGTGCAGCCCTAACTTGGCCCTGGCTTGAGTAGTAGGAGTTGTACTTCCAAAGCGGCTCGTTGGGAAGCTGAGTTGGGGTTTACGGCAATCCACAAAGGTTCGGACAAGGCTTTTGCGTATTTGCTGCGACAAGTTCATCTCGAATCCCGAAACCCTAAGCTCCGGGCATGTGTGTATACATACACATAATTACATATATAATGTGTATACATATACACCGCTGGATAGACAGATCGATAGATAGTTAGATCGATGTTTAGTTAGATGGCGAGGTAGCTAGATAAACAGGTAGCTACATAATATGCATACCAAAATGCTAAGCCGTTGACCGCAAGATGCAAGATATCACGGCGAAGAGCGCAGTGAGCACGTCTTGAGGTCGTCGAGGGCAAGAACCAGATACCTCTCATTCCTGTCCGCTGGGGCGAAGAAGAGCAGCTAATCTGGCGTTAGTGGCTTTTTTGTTGCCTCGTGTAGTTAATTGGCAAGGTGTTTGCTAGGTTGAAGGATCGTTTTAGACAGGCGAAGCGGCGGCGAGGAGGTGGTTCGATTTCGGCATGCAAGTAATTATCTTACTGTGTAAAAGCTCAGGTTACCGTCACAACCTGAGATATTGCTGCTCACTTAGGCTCAGTGCATCCCCGGCCTAAGCCCCAAACCCTAGAATCCCTAGAACATGTACCCTTATCCCTGCACCCTTAGCCCTAAACCCTGTACCCTACAGGCTATACCCACACCATAAACCCTAAACCTAACACAAAAATCTCCAGAGCTCAGAAAGCCACTCCCAGGAAGCTCCTTCATCCTGAAGAAGTTCTGGCGCTCATCTTGGGCAGCTTGAATTCCTAAAGTTTAAGGTTTTAGGCTTTAGGGCGAGGGGGGGGTTAGGGTTTAGGGCAGCGGCCTTTTCGCCCCGACAACGGCGGAGCAGTTGGAGCATTGACATGTAAAAGCATGCTATTCAAGGTACCGAACAATTAGCAATGACGACCTCGTGATGCCCTTATAGTTATCATGTACTATACAAACATACTCCCCAGCCCGATCCCAATTATCGAGGCACCTATATGACCTCGAACAACCTGCCTTTCTCATCGAGCTTATAAGAGCCAGCCAACCAAGCTTTCTCAGCCATCTCTCTGCAGGGTAAACATCAAATATTAGATTATGTAGTACGGTAGGATTGGTTGTTGCATGGGATTTAGATCTGCATTATGAAATGTTGGATTGTGCTGCCCTAGAGTCATAGAACCCGAGCCGAGGGTCAAAGACCCATCAAAGGAAAGCAGACCAACAGCAACAGAACACATGGGACCCCCGGATCATACTAAACCGTAAACCCAACACCCCTCAACTCCTAAACCCCTAACCCCCTAAACCCCAAAACCCCAAACCTCTAAACTCCTAAACCCCCAAAAACCCCCAAACCCCTAACCCCCCTAAACGCCTATCGCCCTAAACCCCCAGACCCCAGACCGATACCTGAGCCTTCGAAAGGTCGTCCAGGATTTGAGCATTGTGATTCTGAGTATTCGTTAGGGGTTTAGGGTTTAGGGTTGAGCGTCTTTAGTTTTGGTGTTGTTGCTTCGAATCCTTGTTGTGATGAGGGCCTTTGTTTGCAGCTTGAGCTTTGTAAGGTGATCCGGCTTCGCTGTCCTCGTGGGAGAAGGGAAGTGCACAGACTAAACCCAACCTTGAACCCTAAAGCCCTATGTCGAAGAGCATCTTGCGCCCTACACCCGAAGCACGACACCAGCACACTATAGCAGCGCAACATCGCAACAAGCCCAAAACGCTCACACACGTCGCCTGAAAGCCAAGGTGAGATGAAGAAAATGATCATTGAGCACACGGGCATTGCGGACACGAAGGATGTCTGTTTTTGTAGACCACGGGTCAAGGTAGTGAAAACGATGGATAAAGAACAGATGTTGGTTGGGAGCAATGCTAGCCATTCCCTGGATATGTGCAAATATCTCGGGGGTCGAAAGGTTCTTAGCAACAGCAGTTCTTAAGGGTTCCTTATCGGTGTAAGTCTACTACCATACTAAAATATTATAATACACGCTCAAACTCTATTCTACTTACTTTGTTCCGGAAAGTCTGTTCTCTTTGGTATATCAATGTTGTCCCCCATGTATTAGGGCCCCAATATTAAACCGTTACAGCTCTTGTGGAACCCATTGAAGGGATCTTCGTATACTCATCCCCTGTATTATTCTCTCAAAGTCGGCTTTCTTTGATCTTAGGCTCTTCGCTCGGCCCTTCGAAAGTCTCCGTGAGGAAACTCAGGGGCCTTCATAGCTAGAAAAGGGCTTTTGGACGCATGGGAGTTTCCGAAAATAGGGACCCCAAAATAAGGTACCCCTATTTTCGGAAACTCCCACATTGAGAACAGTAGAAAAAGGAGCCCTCAGGCTCTAAGGACTAGGAGTAAGAGCCCCAAGAGAAAGAAGAGTCAATCAGAGGAAGTCGCAGATGCTATGCCTTATAACCCTGAACCTAAAGAGCTGTTTAGAGTGCCCAAGCAATCAGGGAGACAGTAAAGGATCAGGCTTAGAGCTTGAAGAAGTCGGAACTGTGGCTTTGGGCTGAAACCTTAAACCTTCGGGTTCCAGGCTTCAGCAACACCAGTGAAGCTCTAGGAGCCATATAACGAGCAGGACGTGATGGACATGTGATTATATCGTATGATGGACAATTACATACCGTACTATTTTATAGCATACCATAATGTGACAAAACCTTCCTGCCACAAAGACAAAAGGCGGGCTCAAGCCGCCGCTTAACCAGCCGGATTCCCAAAGCTCCGTGCTAAATCCTGCAAACCCCCAACCCCTAGACCCTTAAAGCTCGAATGTATGATAATGCAGTAGATGTTGCTATAATGTATGATCGCAGGTTTTCGTACATTAACATGGTATATGATAGTATTTCACGGCATACCACCGTATAGGATACTGTATTAGCAATATTTCTAGACTAGTAAATTATCATGTGACACTCCCGAACCCCTAAACCTCTCCACCTGACTGTTGCCACTAAACCTACAGCCAGTCCATTGGCGCCGTTCTGACGGTCCCGGCCTCCTTCAACGACGCGCAGCGCCAGGCCAGGGAGGCTTCAGATTAAGGTTGCAGCTGCTCCCAGAGACCCCAATATCCTTTAATTAAAGACTATTCCTCAAATTATAATAGCTAATATCATTTAAGGAATATTCCTTTATTTTGCGATATTGGAGTCTCTGGGATACAGTACTAGTTGTATTATGAGCATTAGTAACAAGAGGTTGAAAGTATTGATCAGTTTCAGAACAGTAAAAGACGTAGCGAAACTGTGGAGTTTAAGATTGGGGCCTTCAAGGTTTCGGGTTGCAGGGGTCTTGCAGCAGAGAGAGCAGCGATCATATTTTCCCGTTCTGAGCAGATTGGGCGTAGGGTGGAGTTGGGACAAAACATATTACAGAAAAACGAGAACTACCAGAAAACGTCCCCCCACCCGTTGGAAGAGCTGGCTACGCAACCACTCCTACACATCTTCTTGCCAACTTACGTGCCAAGATACATATATGCATTGGAATCGACCTGCCGACCCTCCATTCAAAATGCAAGACAGAACGATGTTGAGCGGCAGGGAGTAGGTTTGCCGATCCGAAACCAAGATGGGAAGCAAGCTGCAGGCGGCAAAAGACGCGGGAGCAATTGCGGGCTTCAATGTGCTCAGGACCCATCGGGTTGTCATGTCCTTGAGCGCCGTGTGCAAGCTTCATGCCTGCTTGCCTTCGGCCACTGGTGTAGGACTTGGGAAGAAGGGTCAGGATGTCACTGCTGTTATTATTGCCGCTGATGCTGCAACTACTGCTGACTACTGCCACCACCACCACCACCACCACCACCACCACCACCACCACCACCACCACCACCACCACCACCACCACCACCACCACCACCACCACCACCACCACCACCACCACCACCACCCCAAACAACTCCTACAGTCCTACTCCTGCTCCTACTCCGACTCCTACGCCTTCTCCTACTACTACTACTACTACTACTACTACGACGACAACTGCTACTACTGTTACCTACAAGACTGAGGATCATCAACGAGCCGACTTCAGCTGCAATCGCCCTGGGTTTGGACAAGCCACTCTGCTGGACACAGAAGTTCTGTCAGACCCACCATCTCCAGGCAGAGCATGACAGTGTTCTAGTGCTACACTGGCCAAACTGTCGCTTTCGAGTTACGTCCTTCTATGACTAAATCACATGCGCTGTGTCTCTGAACCTCTCTAAACCCTGCGACATTAAATCCTGAAGCACCCTGCCAAGGGGTTGTTCGGAGCGCAATGCCGTGTTCGTGGCAGCTTGTCGAAGATGAGCTTCTCAGGAATTAGAGGGGTCGGAGTAATGAGTAACCGCATCCCCTTCTTGTCTCTAGATAGGTATACTAGAAGATACCCCAAAACACCATGCTGATTATTCAGACTCTTACATTATACCTTCGTGTCTGGGACGGTGAATGATGCCATTCGGCCGAATGCCTGCCAGAGAATGATCGCAGCTGGGTCTTCTCGATCAGGAGCGGGTTAGTTGTGGAACTTGTCCTCCTTGTACCATGCACGATTCCAGCGAACCGTCCAAGTTTCAGGACATGGGGGGCTGCTCCACAGACGTCACCGTCCTGACTATCGAGGATGGTATCTTCGAGTGCTCCGGTTTGCAGCTGGCAAGGTGGTCTACCTGCGTGGTGTAGAATACTGTAGGGGCTTGAATGATTGCCAATATTATTCTGGGGGTTCCTTATTATAAGGATAGTACAATGGGTCCCAAAATCCTATTCTGATTATTAAGGCCCCTCTAGTAGGGCAGGTGTGATCTGTGTCGTCTTCCGTCGTTCAGTGGGCCATGGGCCCTCGACATGTTTTCGCGAGCGGGAGATCCAAGGACTGCAATCGGAGCAGTCTGATACAGTCCTTTGTATAGCTGTACTATGCTACTATATATATATATCAGATTCTTACATATAACCGTGGACCCAGCTCTAACCTGATCCTGTGGGATTTCGCTGCATCACAAGATGACTGCTTCTCAGTCGCCTTAAAGCCCGGACGAGACGTAAAACTCGGGTCTGCGACCCGGGTGACTTGTTGTATATGGGGTTTTTAGGCTCGAAGTTCAGTGACTTCAGGGTATTTCAGGGGTCTATAAATTTACCGACTGTATAATGAGAGTGTCCATTGCTGTTTTACCCACCCATCCTGCCCTGTCGCGATGTTCGACGACATCTAGGGAGGCTCGGCGTTGAAAAACAGAAGCTTGGCGCCATGCAAGCAGTGTAGAACCAGACCACGAAACGCCAAGCACATCTCATCTCTAGAAGCCACATTTGGCATTGTAGGGTTTGTTTCTCAGACCCATGCCGCAACAACGTCCCTGAACACAATGCGGAAAACTAGGCTCTCCGAGAACAAACTGCCCCGAAGTCTCGGCTGTAGCCTACTACTACTGGTACTACGACGACGCCGACTACTGCTGCTCCTGCTACTGCTAGCGCTCTTAGTCTAGTCCATAACGACCTTCGAGGATCAAGTCCACTGCCGGGTCTGCACGCCATGGTGGCGAGGACTCGGGAAACTAAACCCGAGGCCCTAGAGTCTGTCTCGGGCTTTGTGTGATGTCGTGTTAGGGTTTATAGGGTTTAGGTGCCAGCAATGAGAACGTCATGAAGGATGTAGGCTTAAGGGCAGCTTGAAGCCAACTGAAGGTTCACTATCCTGACAGAAATATCGGGGGGAATCTTCAAGCATTCGGATGTTCACAGTATCGACAATGTCGCGCTCGCTTGAGTGGCAGAAATCTAGAGAAATCTAGACATCCCTGCGCGTGCGGTGCGGGAGTCCCAGCAGCAGTAGTGGAAGCTTCTGGAGGGATTCTGCAGGGAACTTCAAGCCAACGCAGGACTCCTTTTCAATTTTGAGAAGATTGATTCTGCCTTTCAATATCTGTATCTTTAGTCCGCAGCGGAAACCAGAGCCGGCTTAGGCTCCAGGTAGAAGAAGTCCAAGCCCACGCAATGTATAGCAGCTCAAGCAGCGATGGGGCAGACACCTCACTTCCCGCTGTTTGTCAGTGACACCAGTACTAATTACCGGCCCAAAGATAGTATCGGCAATGGCCGAAAATGAACACCAAAAGCACGCACAGAGCAAAATCGCTCGCCTGAAGCAGCAGGAGGCTGCAGTAGAGCGAGCAACAATGAGATACAATCAGCATTGCCCCTTATCGCACTCAGAGCCACATCAAGAATCACCATATGGTAATCGCTAGCGGCTAGGAGTGTGAGTCATAATCGGACTCACAACATGCTGCCAGTACTGATTAATATGATGGTACTGAAAACGTTACAACAGAAATCCTACTTCCCGGGCCGTCCCATTCTGTAGAGGACTTGGATGCACGTTTGCTCGTGCCCTGGAATGCATGAAAATTTGGGAGGGTTTGTGCTTCCGTGCCTCCAAGGCAAGCACGAAGAACGTGGAACATACCTTTGGGCCTTTGGCGTTTACTCGCATGTAGCTGGATGACTAGGCAAAGAATTATGTTCCATTGCTTGCAGGATAATCAGGGTGCTGCTGAGAGGCCGAGAAATCCAAGCTGAGGAATACTGCCTAGAGCAATTCTCCCGGGAGCACCCCGGTGTGGACCTCCGTGCACGACCAAGAGCTCTCCGTCGGCTTCAGAAAGCGTGCGAGCGAGCAAAGTGCCCGGGGCTCAGCTCTATAAACAGAAGTAGTCAAAGCACAGCGACACGGCCGCCGTTGCTGCCGCCAACACTAACACCAACACCACAGCCTCCACAACATTCACGGCAGAAACAGCAACAACAGCAACAGCAACGGCAAAAACAACAGCAACAGCAACAGCAACAACAGCATCTTCAGCAACAGCAACAGCGGCAAACACAGCAATGAACACCCCAACCGGACAGGCCGAGTCAAACACAACGTGTTGCATCGAAAGAGCAGTGGCGGGCACTGCTGTGCCAAAGTACTCGAGCATCTCAGCTGATCAACTATGCCATACTATGCCGCATGCCGCGCCATCAGACTCTTGTGCACTCACCTACTACCTAGCATCTCGTCAGTAACGCAGAGAAGTTCAGCCAGAGTGGCGATTGCACAACTTACCTCTGCCTTGAGGTAGGCTAAGCCACGACATCCAGGCTGTGATCGAAGTTGACTCATTGTTCGACGCTCGTCTCCTAGGATCTCCAGTAGTACCCTTATTCCCTTTTTGTAGTCCCAGGTTCCTTATAAAGTTACCCAATACCAAAAAGAGAGGCCTTTTTATTCTTAGGTTACTGGGTATCCTAGTCTCTCAAACATCATGATTCCTGTCGTTCTTTCGGTCTTGGAAGTTGAATGTTGCTCAGGATGCCCTGCGAAAGATTTCGGGATGAGTTCTTCAGTTGCTATCCTTGTTGACGTCGAGAACAGGGAACGCCAAGAAGCCCGCAAACGATATCCGCCGACTTGACAGGTCACACGACGCAACCCATGCGCAGAAGCAACAATGTCAGCCCGATATCGAGCCCCTACAGAGCTGCCTTCAAAGACTTCGAAAAATCTTCTTTTTGCCAAGTTCTGGCCATCTCTGAGAGCCTATACCCTAAACTCCCTGAGATCAGACCGCTACGCATCTCAGGAGGACCACGACTTCTCCTGCCAGATCACGCGTGCCCGCTTCGAGGAGCTGGTCAAAGAGCAGTTGCAGCAGCCAGTACGGCTGCTCAAAGACGCGATGGAGGAGAGTGGCGAACTCAGCTGGTGGCCATGGATGTGAGCATCATGCCAGAGATTGCCTTTCCAGCATGACGGAGCCGAGCCTGAAGAGCTTACAGTGCGCAACATGCTTTGCAATAAGTGGCGCGAAAACGCCCCTGATTCAAGGTGGCCTTACGAAAGAAAGCATCAACGAGGCTCTGCTCGAAAGGGATGCTTATCGACAGGATCCGGACAGATCGGAGTGAGCGCTTCAAAGTCCACCCATAGGCTCCATTGTAGTTCCCTGTTTTGGTCAACCCATGTTATGGCTCGGATCCTATACTATAAACTTGGTTAACCAAAACAGGGAAGTACAATAGAGACTAGAGGTAGGATAGGACAGATACACTTGGAAGGCTGAGCATGTCAGCGTATAAGTTTCACTTGTTCAGCTCCGATGCCACGGTGGGGGACCATTGATGCACCTCGAAGCGGTAGCTTTGCCTCGCTGATTTCTGGGTATGTTCAAACCCCTTTTTCTGCACTGCAACGGCCACTTCTGAATATAAAGCCCCCGGATGCAAACTTCTAGCTTCGAACCTATAGGCTCATACCCTACCCCTTTTTTAAGTACCTACTTTTCTACAAAGGAGATCACAACCATAAAATTAGGTACCCTAAAACAGGGGTAGGGTATGACCCTCCAGGAACAGCTGAGTTCACAGTTTCCCCCCTCCGCCGCAAACCTTCGATTAAGTCCCGCAAGTGACGAGATCGATACCTGACGTCCGAGCCGCTAATAATCACCTACCTGAACCTACCAAAACCTACTTTTTTGTAGGGTCCCTACAAATTCCATATTTGGGTTTATAATGAGAACCTACAAAAAAGTAGGGTTTGGTAATTTAAGGTAGGTCCACCTCAAATGATGGGCAGCCACTCCGAAAGCCTGAGTTTACTTGCTCCGTGACAGGTGGTCTTAGTGGGAGGCTGTGCACGCATCCCGAAGCTGCAGGAGAGCAGAAGTTGTGTCGTTTAAAGCTTCAGGGGCTGTAGGACTTGGGGTTTATATGGTTTACCGGGTGCAGGTTGGGCCCCATCCAAGCATGCTGCTCGCTAGTTCCACTGCTGCATGTTGCAGGAGCTGGTCAAGGAGTTCTTCGGTGGCAAGGCCAGAGGAATTGCGCACCAAAGCCCTTTCTCGCGTTAAGGGCAGACGCATGTTCGATTCGAGCTTCAGTGCTCAAGAGTGCAGGAGTTCAGTGCATCCGGTCTTGCGAGCAGCACCACGTCCTACTCCTTCCCCGAGATGTGACAGCCTCAAGAAGAATCATAGAGTTCCAAGTGGGCAGTCATGCAGCAGTAAATCGCACACCTAAATCAGTAGGTTTCATGTAGAGTTTGTGAGGACAGCCCTGATTAGCGTCCTCATACGATCCCCCACTCAAGTATAACGCTTTACGTAAATCCGTTTGCAGTCGTTGATTGTTGGGTAGCGAAGCCCTCAACCCGACAACGCACTTATTGCTAACTCAGTGGAGCCTCTTGTCCTTGAGTCCTACGTAGCCCTAATGTAGATCCCCGATGAATAGCCCCCCCTGGATACGGAACATGTCATGCAATCTTGAATCATAATAAGGACTAATGTAGGAACCTGATTAAGAAACCCTGGGCCTATAATCCCAAAATAATCGGATTCATATAAGGAGCCCTCATCAAGGCCCAAGGTTTCTGAATCAGCTTCCTACATTGCCATTCCTTCGGGGTCCTCGTCGTAATTGCAGTACAAGGGGGTGTTTGTGAGTCAGAGCTCGCCATTAAACCCGCTCATAATCCTACTAATTTCTTTGTGCAGCCCTCGTCAAGCCATAAAAACCTAAAACCCTTGTAATACTTTGTAAGCCTTAACCACACTTTACACAGCCCTAAGCCCAACAGTGATGATGGGAAGAAGCCGGGAGTGAAGGAGCTGATCGTCAGCAGCCAAGCCAACGAAGACGTTGCCAAGGGTGCCGCTATTCAGGCGGGGTTTTGAGCTCCTAAACCTTAAAGCCTAGGCCACGAAGTTCCTAAAACCTAAATCCAGTTTAGAGCTTACGGTTTAGCAGCCATGCATCAAGGACTTGGTTGAGTCGCTGGTTGGGGGGTGGCGGGCTTGGAGCCTGAAACTTGCTGTAGGTTTGAGGCTTTTCGGTATTGTGTGTCCGTGTGTCTGTCTTTCTCTGTTTGTGTGTGTGTGTGTGTTTGCTCTGTGTGTGTCTGTTCTGTGTGGGTGTCTGTTCTACGTGTGTCTATTCTGTGTGTGTCTGTTCTGTGTGTGTCTGTTCTCTGTGTGTGTGTGTGTCTGTTCTGTGTGTGTCTGTTCTCTGTGTGTGTGTGTGTCTGTTCTGTGTGTGTCTGTTCTGTGCGTGTGTGTGTGTCTGTTCTGTGTGTGTCTGTTCTGTGTGTGTCTGTTCTGTGTGTGTGTGTGTGTGTGTCTGTTCTGTGTGTGTGTCTGTTCTGTGTGTGTGTGTGTCTGTTCTGTGTGTCTCTGTGTGTCTCTGTGAGACTCTGTGTGTCTCCGTGTGTCTCTGTGTCTCTGTGTGTCTCTGTGTGTCTGTGTCTCTGTGTCTTTGTGTTTCTGTGTGTCTCTGTGTGTCTGCGTCTCTGCGTCTCTGCGTCTCTGCGTCTCTGGGTCTCTGTGTCTCTGGGTCTCTGTGTCTCTGTGTCTCTGTGTCTCTGTGTCTCGTGTTCTCTGTGTCTCTGTGTCTCTGTGGCTCTGTGTCTCTGTGTCTCTGTGTGTCTGCGTCTGTTTGTGTGTGTGTGTGTGTGTCTGTCTGTGTCTCCGCGTCTCTGCGTGCCTCTGTGTGTCTCTGTTTGTCTCTGTGTCCCTCTGTGTGTCTTTGTGTCCCTGCGTAAGTGCTTTTTGGTGGTTTCGGTGTCGTCATGAATTTCGGAAGCTTCGCATCAGACAGAAGCCCCAAACTTCAAACCTCAAAACCAACCTCAACCAAACCGCAGAACTTGAACAAGAAACCTGAACAAGTAAGCAGACCGATTCCAAAGGCATCGTTACTATAGTTTGACGAGAATATACATTACCCCAAAACCATATTCCAACCATTAAGCTTATTCAGGCCCCGTGGTTCGAAGGTTCGAGCTAGGGCTTAGGTTCGGCATTTAGTTCCCTGAAAGGCTTTCAGGTTCCGCGATTTCGTCGTTTCGGCGAGTTGTGCTTAGTCTCTGCATGGTCAGGGCAGAAAATACTCTACCCCCTGAGTTCTACGAGAACAGGCCTCACCACGGCGTTTCTGCTGTTTCGTTTCGAGCGCTGCAACAGAGACACATAGCCTTCATGTATGATGGGCACAGAGTCGGTTGGGAAGCAATCATGGGGGACAGAACACTTCTGTGAGCCCGCGCCTCCCCAGATCGTTCATCAGGGTTTTGGGCTTCACTCATGAAACATCGACAGTCTGGCCGGCTTTTCAGGGGGTTTGCTGGAAGTGTTCGTGAGAGGTGTTGTCGCACTGAGCCCTGTAGTCAAGCCAGAGCCCGATCCCTCAAGTGAGCTTGCGAATAGGCAGCTATCCTGTGTGGGGCTGGTGGCGTTGTCCAAGACCTGCTGTTGCACCTTGGACGGGATTGCAATCGCCGCAAGGTAGGTTTGTTTGGCAGGCAGGTTGTTGGGTGAAAGACAGTGTCTAGCCCACAGGGCAGTTTTTGCCGGTTGCATAGCTCCATAACGTTACGGATCCAACCGTGCATCTTTTCCTATCACCGTCGTGCCCTGTGGATCTCAGGCCTCTGTACAAACCATTGATATCACAACATCAAGCCTCAAACCCTGGCTTTATCGGCCTTCGTTTCACCATGAAAGCCCAAGGTTTAACCTTTTTGCCTTGTCTTGCTCAAGCAGGGAGGAGAGGGAATCATGCTTTTCCGACATAATAGATGACGCTCTTGCCGGTTGCACCCTCCCGGTTGCCTGAGGGACATACTTGTTATCACAACCTGATATCAGTTTCGTTCCTTTGTACAGCCATGACCACCATCAGAACTTTTGCCAATCTTCGAGAGCGCTTTAAGAGATCATGAATTATGCATGTATCCCTACTTGCTTGAGACATGTGGCGTTTGGCTGCGATTTGGGCTTCTTTTATCACTGCAGAGGACGAGGAATGCTGGAAGGGCGGCCTAGAGCCCGGCCAGTGCTGCCCAATGACCGATGCTGATCACGCCTGCTTCGATGAGGTCTTCACGCGTGATCGCTGCTGCACTGCCTCTGACCCGGTAGTGGAAGGCTGCGACTGCAGATCCCTATTCTTGCGGGAAGCAGCGGAGTTCCTGAAGCATGTGCCCAGCTCTATAGGACAGGAAGACGTCACCGCCTGGCCGTGGAGGTATCACTTAAGAAGCTGCAGCGAGGACGACTATACAGCTGCCGTCGGCCCCAAGGGATGGCAGCGTGACGACCTCTGTGGGCAGCTGCTTGGCTCTTCTTAAGAGGGTCTTAGGGTAGGGTTTAGGGTTTAGCGTTTAGGGCCGCTCTTCTGAAAATTAGGGTAGGGTTTAGGGTTTGGGGTTTAGGGTTTATAGGGTGTACCATATTATAGGGGTCTATAGTGAAGTGGGGCGGTGGCCTTAGTAAGGCAACTTTAAAGTCGACCCCGTAAGAAGAGCGCAGGCTGGAGATGCTTCATTACTTGGTGTTTTGCGGCTTGCAGACAGAGTGGTGGGAAAAAGATGGTGCTTTAAGGACAGTCTTCTGGACTGAAATCATGCGCCTGTCCATCAGTCTACTGAAGTCAAGCTGCCAGGGACTCCTGACGCCACAGGAAGCATTCTACAACCACCAGGAGTTCGAGAAGCAATACTTGTCCTTCTCATTTCAAGTTGAGGTTCACCACCTCCGGTGGCAACGAGACCTGCCGGTGAGTCAACAGGCTGGAGTTTTGCAAACAGTCGGACAGTGCCCTGATGTGACAGCTCGGCGCCCTGCCATTCACTGTGCGGTGACGGCACGCCTGCCAGAAGACGGTCCGTCCATCAGGGCTGCAAGAGCCACTTGGGCCAAGGGCTGCGATTCTGTCGAGGTTTATGTTGCATCCGCAAACAAGTATTCGCAGTCTTGGAACAGTTTCGGCCTTCCTGTTCGAAACCTCGCCATGTATTATCCGGTGTTATATGCTCACCCCGATCAAGCCGGCGACGCATCCTCAGCAGACATTTTCGCGCGGAAGAAGCAAAAGACGACGACAAATCTGATCCGCAAGGCATTAGCTATGTGGCACTGGATCGGCACGAACCTGCCTGCATCCGACTTTGTCTGTCGCCTGGACCCGGACACACTGTTTCTTGCGGACCGCTTGAGGCAATATGTACACCAGCACTGCCTGAGCAATTCTTCCTGGGTCTATTTGGGACAAGTGCAGCACACGATGAAAGTTTGGGTCGGTGACTTTCCAGATGGTGGTGCAGGGATTTGTTTGCCATGGAGGGCGACGCGAGAGTTCGCTACCATGTTGGATGACCGAATACATAAGTATGCTGAGGGTGAAGAGGCTGGCCCGGGTTTGCCAGAAGGGTGTCGCATGGTGCCTGGCCACCTGGACGACGTTATAACCGGCTTTTGCTTTCAAGAGATGGATTTGCTACCACATTATGGACTTGTGTCCGCGCTGGGACAGACCAGATTCAACAATGAGGTTCTGCCAAGGCATAGCGAGAAGTCCTGCACCGGTAGCTTCACCGACTGGCTCAAACAGGGCCGATTGCCTGACCTTTTCGTCTGCGCTTCCAAACATCTCGACTGCGTCTCAATTGCTCCCTGGTGCTGGGTGAACGAAACTGAGGCCATCTCTTTCCATGGATACAAGAACGCCTCAGTGATGCAGGAAGCTTATCGCTCCCTGGTTGGGGATGCTTTTTAGAAGCTTCCCTGAAATTGGCTGAAGTACCGACCGGTGGAAAAAGGAGCAGCGGATCTCTGGAGGTGTGCAGGGACGTCGCGTGCAACGACTACTGATGCGATGCTTGACTGACAGAAGTATGGTACTTATGGAATTGTTTCTTAGCAGTCCCGATCCTGGACTCTGCGTCAGACAAGTGAATCGGAGCGGTCTTCATTCAAGACTTCCGGCTTTCCGAACTTATGCGCACACTTGAGAAGCTCCGAAGGAAGACGTGTAGACTTCTTGCCTCCGAAGTCGTTGCCAAACCCTGCACTATCCGGCACTCAACACTTCTCAGCATTGGCATTGTCTTCGGCTTCGCGATGAGAAGCCTCTTGCTGAGATGTTTTTGGTTCGAAGCCTGCCGAAAGAGACGTGAGTCTGCGCTGGGGTAACCCAAAGGCGTCCTGAAATGTCCTAAGTACCTATATGTGGGATACTTCTCAACACTTCTCAGCATTGGCATTGTCTTCGGCTTCGCGCTGAGAAGACCCTTGCTGAGATGTTTTTGGTTCGGAGCCTCCTGAAAAAGACGTGAGTCTGCGTTGGGGTAACCCAGAAAGTCCTGAAATGTCCTAAGTACCTATATGTGGGATACTTACTTACCCAAGACGTAGCAGTAGCTTCGCCTGTAGACACCCTCTATTCTCTAGAAGATAGGTACTTAAGGTCTTTGAACCTTTTCGGTAGTGGACAAGTAGTCCGGAGTTCAGCGATCGGTTCTGGGCCCCGGAATGAGAGTGGCAATCTTCTCATCGCCAACCTTGTCATCTCGCACCAGTGGGCTAGCTTGAATCCGAGCGGGTCCACAAGTTCTGCGCCCGGAAGTTAGTGGTCGCAGATATGCTGTCATGCCCTTCTGTTGTTGCAACATATTGCAACATGCCTCCGTTTCGTCTTATGAGCGCAATTGACCTGCCGATGGGGTGTTCCAGTTCAGATCTGGGAAATGGAGCAATCCCCGCCTCAAACACCTTTTAGCCTTTTTCTGCAAAAGGAACGACATCAACTGTCGTTAGGCTTTCAGGCACGCTTCAAATCCGACACCCTAAACCCTAAACCCCAAGCTTTAAGACCTAACTTCCCTTTGGTTAGTAGGGAATCGAAAAATGGTAGTATATAATAGTACTTATAATTGTGCCCCATTCTTCCATTCCCTACTAACCAAAGGTGAGCTAAACCAGCACTGAGGTTGGATGTCACACCTCTGTCGATCGGCTACGAGTCCGCCAACGGTGCTATGTCCAGGGTGATTGCAACCTGGAACAAACACACGCATTCATGTAGAATGAATATGTAAGAATATATGTATATACATATGCACATATGCATCCGTCTATGTAGCCGGATCTGCGTACGTTTATAAGTATCTTGAGTCCGTGTTTCCTTGCTTGTTAGCTTGCAGGGTTGTCTATCTCCATCTATGTTCATGGTTTGCTTTTTCCTCTTTCCTAGAAAGCTTCGTAGCTGAGTGGTAACCTTTAACCCTTTGGGGTTTGTATAGTCCGACCATACTTTACAAAGTTAACCCTGTCTTGGGGCTAGGATACTCAGCCCCTAAGAAGGCTGTTTTGTCTGCGCTCATCTTGGTAGGTGTTAGGGGTTGGAGTTGTATGAGGTGTTTGGAGTTTAGGGTTTCGGGTTAAAGGATGTTTAGATAGAGTTTAGGGCTTGAGGTTTAAGGTTCAGGGCGTTTGAGGTTTAAAGTTTAAGGTGTTTGGGAGGCTAAGTGCCTGAACGTAAACTTGAGGTTCAGTGCGTTCTCAAGTACAAGAACAGTGTTGCCTCCGCCTTTGATTTTTGAGTTCGGATGTGTGGTTCTCCTGGCCTCGAAATGATAGGAATCTAAACCCTATAGCCCTACTGTAAACCCTTAAAAAATTCTTGACCCTGAAGTTGTAGCCATCGGGCGGCATTCACGAGGAACGCAACACGACCATTCCCACACGGCGCTCATTGGTCCTCACAACCCACGAAGACAACCAGAGGAGTGTGGCTTTCTTTCACATTGGGGTTTAGTGTTGAGGGGTTTAGGGTTTTAGGGTTTAGGGTTCAGGGTAGAATTTAGGGCAGGCGTTGATAGCATGATGTGTTCCGCTTCGGTCGGAATGTATGCACAGCACGGAGATACGGCTTGTTTGCACACGTCTCAGCCAAGCCAGTTGCACCCTGCATCCCCACCAGCTCGTCCTGAAATATTCGTGAGGTTTTTTGATTCTTGGCTAGACCATCATGAGTGAGCCCGTGGGCCCTATAAAGCCACAGCCGGAACAGTACATGTATATTATTATTGTTACACTATTATTACTATTATTTTTATTATTATTATTATTATGACTATTGTTATTACTATTATTGCTACTATCATTATTATTATTATTCTGTACATGTCCAACTCTGATGCAGGAGCGTGAAGCTTCGAATCTTTGAGGGCGAGCGGGCTTCCTGTGCCGCCGCTTCGGCAGTTTTGGGGGTTTAGGGTTTAGGGTTTGACCAGTTTTCGGGTCAGTAGCAGCAGATCCTGGAGCAGTAGTAACTATAACTGCGATCCTGAAACCCGACCCATTCCAAATTCAACGCAAACGAAGTCATACCTCCGACTCCTGGCGGAACATCTGCAAAGGCGTCTAATGGCCTAGAACTCTAAATCCCCCACTCCAAAGCTCTAAATTAATCTAAACCCTAAAGACCTTACGCCCTAAACCCCCAAAGACAAAGCTATGCAACAGGAAAACAACTTCCTGTCGGAATTTGTGCTCGATGGCTTGCCCCCAGCTCCACGTGGAGTGCCACAGATCAAGGCCGGGCTGTTGGGACTTTCTGGGTTTCCAGGATTTAGAATTCAGGTTTTGGGACTTTAGACGTTTATGGGTTTAGGGCGCTTCGTGGTTTAGGGCTTATGGGCATTTACGGGTCTAGGGTGTGGGGGAACCCTAAACCCTGTCCGGCGGGCGATCTTGAGAATGAGGTGTGGAAGGTGCAGCTGCAGATGCTTCATCCTATGTGTCGGAAGCCTGATGTGGCTGCTTTCCCTTCTCTTCCGATTCGTAATGTAGGGGCCTTAATAATTACCTATACTATTTTAGGGGCTCCTTGTAGTATAATGGACCCCAACACCCTATTCTGATTATTAAGGCCGCTATACTACTCAACCTTGCCATGTCACGTGTAAACCCTTTAGCCTGCATGTTGCGCGTGCTGGGTGTTCAAGCAGAGATGCTAGCCCGGTGTTCAGGTATCCAGGACATATAGACATGTATGCTGGCACAAGACACTTGGGGGTTTCCCTAATATAGCACCCTAAATAGTAGGATCCTTACTATAATTACCCCAAAATAGGATACCCCTGTTTTCGGAAACTACCACTTCACACTCAGAGCTCTTGCTCACAGGGTTGATAAGGGGCCCTGTGGACGGGACCCCTGTGGGTTGCATTTGCCGAACGGGCGTGTTACGGCCCAATGGGGCCTAATGGGGGGTAATGGGGGCAAATGGGAAAGCCATTGGGCCCCATTGGGCCGCAACGCGCCCATTCGGCAAGTGCAACCCACAGGGGTCCCCTCCACAGCCCCCTATCAACCCTGTGACTTGCTGTCGCAGCAGGTCGAGTTCGACATCGATGCAAACGGCATTCTGCCTCTCGGCTTCAAGAATGTTTGGCGGGTCTTGGATCGTGATCTTAGGGTTTAGGGCCTAGGGGTTTTAGGGTCTAGGGTTTTAGGGTTTAGGGGTTGGTCAAGTGACTTGGTGTTCGTTCTCCAACTCCACTTTCCATCAGCGGGAGTTCTGTGCAGTTGTCAGCAATGCCAGGCACGTCTCTGCGACAGAAGGGAGCACTGGCAAGTCGAACCAAATAACCGTCACCAATGTGCCTCGATGGCACTGGAAGGTGTGTTTGCACTCTGTTGAAGCTGCTAGCTGCATCTCTTAGAAGGGGCCCCCACCCTGTAATAGTGGTATAATAGGGCACGAATATAATCCTTATAGTCACTATTGCAGGGTGGGGGCCCCTTCTAATGCATCTCCATCAAAAGCCGCTTTTTCGGGCTGGCTGAGGACAAGGGCAAGCTCACGCAGAGCGCCATTGAAGAGATGGTTAAGGCCATTGTTCCACATTGAAGCCCCAGCCGGACTCTACATGAGCTTCCCAAGATTCTATTCTAGGGTTTTTGCTAATTAGGGCGGATGATGTAAATCTAGGGTATATAGGTGCATTACCCTATGAACCCTCAGCCTTGCAACTGCTATTTGCTTCATTGGATGCAGGCTGCTCAGTCAGCGCAGCTTGGCACGGCAGAGCTGGCTGCAGCAGACGAGAAGGAGATCGGATTGGGGTTGGGAATCCCAGAGACTCCAATATCCCTTAATTGAGGCATGTTCCTTATATTAGGGTTCCTACTATAATTTAAGGTGTATTCCGGAATCAAGGGGTATTGGAGTCTCTGGGTTTGTGGCTTCGTGCAATTGGGGCTTCCTTATGTTATGGGAGGATCCCTTACTTTCCGAACTCCCCGTATGATGTATGGCTTGTTTCTTCAGTAACGTTAGAAAACCCTTAACGCCCAAGCCCTAAGCCGGAATACGCCAATATTCCGCAATGCTTGAGGAGCCCTGCATGCACTCATCAGACCGTGGGTTGGCTCTGCTCTATAGAAGTAGTAAGGCACTGAACCGATTTGTTTACGTCGGGTCTGGGGCTGTGGGGATTCAAGCAGTCTTACATAAGGGTTGTCAGCGGGGCTGGGTATAAGGTTTCTGGGTTTATGGTCCTATAGCTACAAAGACGATAACGGAATCTTGAGACCGTTATATACTACCTGTCAAGGGCCTGCAGCAGCGCAGGGGTCGATCAAACAATAACATCGTGCTGTGTCCACGTAGGAAACATCTGAGTCTTATCTGCTTGACTTCAGAATGCATTTAGCCTCCAGGCGTGGGTGGAATCCTTTCGGAGCGCCAGTCAGCAGCCCGAGCTAGACAAAACAGATGGTTGAGGGTTTAGAAGGAAGGTCCAGGGCTCCTTGCTGCAGGCTGCAAGCATAAACTCTATCCTAAAGGAAGAGGCGTCCACTAAAGACTAAAGAAGACAATCTGCAAAGCTTGCCCCATGGACCTTCTAAACCTCAAGCAATCCGCACTCTTCGGCCCTGCGCCGCGGAGGCGGGATATGGCACCGCCAACGCCGCGCGCGTGAGCTGCGGTCAGCATGAAGACTACTGGCCCGGTCTTCGGATTCGAGAGCCCAGGCCGGGATTGCATAACAATAGGGTTCCTTTAAAGGGGTCTATAAGGGTTACTATAAAGGGAATCTATACTGTCATATACGGGCCTAAATAATTACAAAGTCTATTTTGGTGTCAGTTGCCTTATGATACTTATAGCATAATGGGCCCCCAAACCCTATTCTGATTGTTAAGGCTCCTATATTATCAGGTGCAGCCATCGCTTCTAGTTCCCTGGCACTATAGCATACTATAGCATTCCTAGTCCTTGGGGCCGCTGAACCCTAGTCGAGTTACCCCATAGGCCCCGATACCTTGGGTACGGCCCCCACTTAGTTATGGTTGAATAGTATTCATAGTATAGATATAGTAGGATCTTGATAGTAGCCCTATTGTAGACTCTTACTGTATGGGGGCCGGACCTAACCGATACCCTATAACCGCTAACCCGCGAAACCGTCAACAACTCTGCCGTCCCGTTGAGCTGGTGAACCAAGCAGGCGGGATCGCAAGCAACGGTGCACAATCACGGTTCAGCCCCTCGGCGTCGTAGGGCTTCGAGTTTAGTCTTAACTGTTGTGTGTGCTGTTAGGTTTCAGACTGCTTACTTGCAACGGGCATTTGAGTTATGTATCATTGTCAGCTTTGTGCCCTTGGTTGAAGCACAAATCTACCATCTAGACTCGTTCATTCTGTCGACAGGTGGGTGTAGTGGCCTGCTGAGCAAAAAGCGATGGTGCTGGACTCCCGGATGTTCGTTTGCCCCTGCCGCACCTCTTGTATACCAACTTTCCGTCGTCGTTCATTGGAAGTCCATTACATTCGCTACAATCTGCTACCTGTCGGACAGGACACATGTGAAACGGCCTCCATGCCAATGCTTAAGCAGTCGCAGCCTTCATCAGATGAGAGAGACCGACCTCAGCTTCGAAGCAGAGAACGAAGTGAACACCGCTCCAGGTTTTACCACACGGTATCCGGAGGTGTCCCATCTCCGGAGGCCCCATCACATGATAAGTCATGGTACAGCCATGACTTGAAGTTCTGTGTGTTTTTGTTGTGCGCCAGTCTTCGATGTGCGTTCTGGGGCAGTACAGGCATGCGGGATAGATGATCATGTACAGGTCTGCAACCTGAAGAAACTGAGCTTCACATGCGGGTAGGGTGCATGCAATACACGCTCGGGAGCATGCTTTCAGCGACGAAATGCATTTCAGGATCGTTTACATTTGCTGCGAAGGGGCTGGGAAGAGAGAGTCTCTCTCTCTCTCTCCCTCTCTGGGTGTGTGCGGTAGGCTTTGCCGAGGCCGAGTGTCGTTCGCTTCGAAACGGAAACCATGCGAGTCAACTCGGAACGTGTGTTTGCTATGGATGTGCGGGATGTAGTACATATGTAGATATGCCGAGGGTTCTGCGAACACTGTACACACCCTTACATGTAGCTTGTATACATGCATCCTACCTGCTAGACCGACAGACGCACAGACAGACAAACAGCCAGGCACACATACTCAGGCAGACAGGAAGAGAGAGAGAGAGAGAGAGAGAGACAGAGCGAGAAAGAGAGAAAGAGAGAGAGAGAGAGAGAGAGATACATAGATAGAGAGATGGAGAGAAACCTAGCTTGGTGTAGACTTGGTACATCACTTCCTTTCCTGGCGACAGATTACACTGGCATCCCTTAATATTCCACACCCTGAAGGGCTGAAGTGTTTAAGATCCCACGATCTTGTAGGATGTCCTGGCAGCGATCGACGACATGGAATCTTTGTACAGGCACTGCGAGTGGAACGGTCGTTTAGCTGAGTGCCCTGGCCGCCCTGACAGTTTATAAAATTATAGCAATAGCATGTAACAGCATGATTATTACTATCAAAACTATTAATCGCATGGTCTTTTGGAAGACTTGAGTCATACTGCATTGTACTCGTGTACCAAGTCATGCCTGATTATACAATATGGTATATACTAGATTCTGCAAGATTGCGCCCTGTTATCCGATATTGGACTACATCATGAGTGAACCGGCAAGCCGCGTTTGGGGCAGTAGAGCATGTGTTCCTGTTTCGTACGATGTGGGCGACGTTCAGAACTAATTTAAGAAGAGTCGCACGCAAAAGGGATGTGAGGCAATTTGGGCTTCAAGGCTTCGGGGCTTTCGGGTGTTTGATTAAGGTTCGGGCTCAAAGTTCGCAGGTTCCACCGACAGATCACTAAACTGTGGATTGAGATTGCACCGTTTGCAGAAGACGAGCTGCGTCTTGTACAACAACGACGGGCAAGCCTCTTCCAACAACCTGGCAAATCAGTACGCTGTAAGCGCAGTCAGGGACTCGAATGTCCAAATGCCACAGCCGTTTTCAGACCGTCAAGTGGACTTGCATTATTCGGTGTGCAGCAGTGCTTTGTTCCGAGGAAGGGGGCAGATTTCGCCAAGTCCACGCAATAATCTCTGGGCTGGCAAAGGTGCCACTTGGCTCAGAGAAGATTGTAAGTCCTGCAAGCGAGGTTTCCCCTCTTTCTTCCATAGACGCTAAACCCTCAACGCGTTTAGGGTCCCTCAACTGTAAACCCACAAGCCTTGGCGATTGCTTTCAACCTTGACTCGGACTTCTGCGCACGAAAGCCATACATACTTGCAGGACTCCCACAGTCAGCTCAGCACCCTCTATGTGTGGGCCTTATTCGGGAGTTTCCGAAAATTCGGGGTACCTTATTTGGGGGTCCTCATAATATACTAGTTAAGATACTACATTCGGGTCCCCTCTATTCGGAAACTCCCATTCTCAGCTTCAGAAGAACCATCGATCTTGACGTGCTCCAGCTGAGGAGTCGTTCTATGCACGACTCCATCCTTGCAGAGTTGAGCGGTGGTGACATCGGGCCCTTCTGTTTCTGGCCCATGCCATGCGGGCTACCACAAGCAAACCTGTGTGTGACAAGGAAAATCATGTTGAACGATATTATTCTAGTCGACTGGTCCTCCACCCATGCCGGTGGATGATCGACTAGTAGGAAAGCTGTGCATCGAGGTAGTGCTCCAGCCTTTGCCTTGTGGATAGCCTGCAATGACAGAATCGACACTTCCGTAGAGCAAGGGTCAAAGACCGCCTTTGTACAGCGGGCAGCATGCAAAAAAGCGCAAGGTCACGGCATGGTGGGGTTTGACGATAGCCCATCTGCGATTGCCCATATGCGATTTGGGACCGACAAGGACGGACGGCCTGCAAAATGGAGCAACAACGCCACATTCAGCCTCTACACACCCGACATAACCCTAAACCGTGGAACCGAGAAGCTTTGGTTGCAATCGCGTCTTGAACTCCAAGGAGAGGAGCCTCGTTGAAGTAAGAGTTTGAGGGCTCAAGGGGTTCAGGGAGGTTCGGGAGATGGGAGCTTAGCGTTTATATACACTTCATAAGCTAGGGTTATGCCCATTTGAACAACTTTTGCCTGGCCCTGCCAGCCCTGGCCTTGAAGAGGCATTCCGGCCGTGCTTTCGCACTTGCACTCTCTGCGGAGGCCGATCTGATAGGGCTTATCGCAGGAACTTTCTGGGGTTCAGAAAGCTTGCAACAGGAATGCGAATGGCAAGCCCAGAACTCAGGAGCAGCATCTGACATGACTCCTCATGGATAGTGTAGCTAGAGCAACTCCTGGTGCTGCTGCCGCCGCCGCTACTACGTTACTGCGTTTGCTGCTGCTGCTGCTGCTGCTGCTGCTGCTGCTGCTGCAACTGCTAAGCCTTCTGCTGCTGCGGCTCCTTCCACCCTCTGCGTGAAGTTTCACAGACGCTGTGCTGTTCACAATGTCACGTTGCGATAAGACAAGAACTACTACAATACCGATGTATACGAACCAAGAACCAACAGCAACAAGAAACATCTACAGCGATGCCGCTGTATGAACTCGAAGCCATATTGGGAGGAGGAATGCATGTGACGAGAATAGCATCCGTCGATCGTTGTCGTCTGCTTTGTTAATTGTGTATCTGTGTTCTCATGTTGGCCATAACACTCATGGCAGCACGGAGATTCGGATTCAGGTGCGCGCTTGATTGTCTTAATGTCCAGATAAGCAGAGGACCTGACTTCTTTGAGTTTTTAATACAGGGGGTTTTAGCAACTTGAACAGGGTTTGGGGGCCTATCAGACTATAAGTAAAATAACGAACCCCGAAAATAGTAGAGGTCACCATCAAGCCCCCTATAGTAGCTTCGGTCCGTTGAGTTTACTGCTGAGGCTGGAGGGGTGGCATCTTACATGCACGTGCGCATGTTTGATTTGAAGACTTTCTCTGCACCGTCAGGCGGGATCCGGAGATCATTGAGCTGCTGCTGACGCAGGGTCACCAAGCAGTCAGCACTACTCTTTAAATTGAATGAGGAGGGTTTCTAAAAACGTTCTACAGATTCTAAGAGTCTACAAAGCTCATCATGACGAGGCCTCGCAGGGTGTATTTTCTGTGGCTTCTCGCCTGATGGCGAAAGTGAACGTGTGGTTTTAGCTGTGGGACCCCTCAGATGAGGTCTCGCCTAAAGCTAGTCCGAAGGTGTGGGGGAGTCGTTGTCCGGCAAGGGTGACCAAGAATCAGACCTAATGTAGGGCCTAAATCATTACCTCTACTATTTTGGGGGGTTCCTAATCATAATTATCGTAGTTAGAGTGACATGGGCCCCAAAACCCTATCCTAATTACTAAGGCCCCTATACTAAATCCTTAGAATCCCCCTTATACTAGCGCTTGTAGAACCCTATAGCGGCAACCGATCCTAATTTAAGTTTTAAGGCCCCTACAGTGCAAGCCAAAAAGTTGGAAACCCGATAGCCTCAATCCCTAAGAGTAAAGTAGGAGGAAAGTATAGGGAATCCCAGCACTATTTGTCCCTAATTAGGTTTCCAACTTTTTGGAGTTTGCTGTATATTAAACCCTGGGAAGCCTCCCCTGGACCCTTTGCCCAAAGACAGAAGAATCTGTGTTGAACGATGTGGGGCTGCCAGGGTTTAGGGGTTCAGGGTTAAGGGCTAAGCCTGAGAAGCACAGGAAATCGACCAGTAACAGCAATGACAGCGAGGATGGCAGTATTGATGACACCTCTTTGCATAGCAAAGCACCAAAGAATCCGCCAGGAATTTCCTATCCAAATAGGACATTTCTGGCATATGCGCCACCAGAACACATCGAGACCCCGGAAAAAACTCCGTCGGTCGAGTCTCAAGTGTGGCCCAGGCAGGGCTTCATCGTCTCGGAGGAGTTGATGGGAATCCACGTGCTATGTTGGGGCCTCCTTTTTTATATTTCTAGTATTGTAGGCCCCAAAACCCTATTCTAATTACTAAGGCCCCTGTATTAGGAAGCTATGTTGGGCTTGTGCGAGTTTACGAAAGATCTCACCTTAAACATTGACGTTCTGCTGTGGTTGAGATTATTGTTGACTTCAAGACTCTTGCCTATAGCTACCGTCAGAAGATTGCAGATCCCTGGATGGCAGCTGGCATCTTTTCAGCTCCGGGAGGTTTTCGACCGAAAGACCGGCTACACTTTGTTTGAGAGGTCAGAGTCTTACTGATGTTGGGTTTAGGGTTTAAGGTTTACTGATGTTGTTTTGGAGCCCTTGCGGAGCTCTTTTTGTTCCGGCGGGGGTACATGCAACAGGTTGCTGGCTCCCAGCTTCGAGAGGCTTTGGATTTTTTGAGACATGAGGGTCGGCGTTCCCTAGCTCAAGCTGAAACAGCGTGCCATAGCTTCATAACCACTACGCTTACGGCTATGGTCATGTTGATCACTGCATGACAACTAGCCCAGCCTCACTATCAAACCCACTCATGATTTCTTTTGGTTGTTCTTGCAATTTGTCGGCCGGAGGAGCTGGGTGATGCCTTTCTGGCACGGGTGTTGGAAGCTTGGCGCTGCTCTGAGAAACGAAGCTTCGACTATCTGCGCCGGTCTCTGGAGCTCTACTTGGAAGGGCAGGGGACTTAGTAAGTAGGTGATAAGTAGAGTTTTAAGTACCCTAAATGGAGCTACCCCAATTATAACCCTACTCATAACCTACTTACTAAGTCCCTAAACCCTAAACCCCATAGATCCCCTTTAAGGAACCCTATAGATCCCTTTAAGGATCCCTTACTAAGTCCCCTGCCCTTCCAAGTAGAGGGCTCGTCGTCGAAATAGAACCCTCATCTCCCGGCAGCAGAGCAAAAGCATGGCAAAACGTCGGTTCGAGCGGGTTCTGGCTATGGCTATTGGTGCCAGTAGCAACAGAGAGCCATGTCCCTGCCTGTGGTTGCATATCGCAAATCTCTGTAGTTCAACGACTCTTCAATCTCTGTGGGATTGCAGCTATACCCGCCGATAAATGCATGGATACACCAGCAGAGACACTGAAGGAGCCTTGAGCTGTGTTCACGTTCATGGGCAAGTGGCTTCGAAACCTTGCATGGCAGCTTTTGGCTTGAGAAGCTTGTGCCGGGCCAGAGTGCAGACATTCGTATGTCGACGGTTGCTTCCCGAAGCCGAAGTTCTGACCTCGAGCATAGCACTCTAAACCCAACCTCCAGGCCCCACTCCAGAGACGTCTGAGTCAACTGAGCTTTTGTCTTTGCCTCGTGCCATGGCATCCTACACCGCGGAGGAAGTGGCAAAGCACTGCTCCGAGGGCGATCTTTGGATGGTCATCGACGGCGATGTCTACGACCTTTCGAAGTTCGCCTCGCTGCACCCGGGCGGCATCCCGCCGCTGCTTGACCCGGCAGTAGCCGGCAAAGATGCCACCGAGCTCTTCTTCGGCCTGCACCGTGCTTCGGTCTTGAAGGAGCCGAAGTATGCGCGCTTAAAGATCGGCACGCTCTCCGGTGCTGCAGAGGCAGCGAAGGTGGCGAAAAAGAAGAAGTCCTCGGCGCCAGAGCACATCCCGTATGGTGAGGCCATGGGAACTTGGCGCAAATTTTCGCCTTATTACAAGGAGTCTCACGAGAGGCTTCGTGCCGCCGTGCGTGAGTTCATGGATAAGGAGATCAAGCCGCACTGCAAGGAATGGGATGACAATGGCACGCTCCCCACCAGAGAGATCGACATCGCGGTTGGAAGAGCTGGCATTTTCGCTGCGCTCGTCGCCGGCGAAGAGGGTGCGACAGAACTTTTCGCGCAGCACGGCCTCTCACTGCCAGGCGGCATCAGCGCCAAGGAGTGGGACTACTTCCATGCATTGGTGCTGAATGAAGAGATCCGTCGCGGTGTCAATGGTTGCTACGGCGTCAGTGACGGCCTCATCGGTGGCGTTTCCATTGGCCTTCCGCCTTTGCTGAAGTTCGGCACCAAGGAGATGATTGAGAAGTACGCAGTGCCGATCATCAAGGGGGAGAAGCGCATCTGCCTGGCCATCTCCGAGCCGTATGCAGGCAGCGACGTGGCTCAGATTCGCACAACTGCTGAGATGGCCGCAGATGGT